TACATATTTCTTTCATATCCCCTGCTTCCTCTAAGCAGAACTGTTCCTTGACGTTTGGTTGCTCCTATCATTGTTTGGTGCTGCTCTTTTAGTGACAGGATTACCCTGTGCACTCAGGGCTCCTGGGGGACCTGTCCCTCTAATTATATTGAATCACTATTTCCCCTCAAATTCCTTAGAATCTCAATGCCATGCTTGCAATGCAAGCTGTGAAAGTTTCTGGAATCCAGCAATACCGGGGCCCTTCCAGCAAGGACCTAGGGTAGTAGAAAAAATTCCTGCTTAGAAGTATGTGGGATTTGACTTGTTTGCCTAAGAGAGTCTTTGTAGGACTATGTCCCATGCACAAAGGAATAAGGATGTTTGTCATTTTATATCATGAGGGCACTGCAACACGGTGCCAGCGCTGAATCACATTTTCCTGCAAAGCCTGCGTGGCCCTTGGCCTTCAGCGGGAAGCTGAGATAACCAAAGTGCTGCAGTCAGAAGAGTTACCAGGAAAACGTACTTTATGGCTGCAAGTTGTACTCAAAAAAGGTAGATAAACACCACGTCAAATGAACTATGGTTTACTGGCTCACGGTCTCCTCACCAAACTCTTCTGATTAAAAAATGGCAATTTAAGTTCTGCAGAGAGCTATCAGCATGTTCAGGCTGCACACACGAGAGTTCACAAGAGCAGAAACGCTCTTTGCCCCACGGCACTTCGCTGTGGTTTAAAGACACTTTCTCAAAGCCACTAGAAATCACCCATGAATATCCTACGGTCTGGGAGACACAGAGACCTTGGGCTGGGCTGCTTTCTCTTCCCCAGCTGTAAGTAAATACAAAATTCTTTCCATTGCAACTGAAAACTGTTTATTAAATGTCATGAGAGGGCGTGTGGCTTTCCCCTACGTCTCTAGCACAATTAATCATTGTGGATTTAAATGCACTTCTTCAGTGTAAGAGAAACAAAGACCAGAGGTTTTCAGCCACTCCGTGAGCAAGTGTCATTGATGGGTAGGTCCAGCTCTGCATGAAGGCCACTTCACATTAAGTGAGTGATAGACTTTTTTTAATGGTTGCTCTGAGTGATCAGCTAGTGTGAAGATGCTTCAGAGTCGTACGTGAGCACTGCACTGGAGATACCAGGAGAGCACTGCAGCCTCAGCTCTAGCTGGCACAGCGTGGCAGCAGGTGTCTCAGTGCACGACTCATACAGCTGTAGGCTTACAAAATGGTATCTGTGCCACAGCACTGGACATTAGCCTCAGGCTGACCTATGGGGCTGGAGAGGGAAAACTGGTTTACCACTGAGGCTGTGAGAAAGGCTTTTGCTTCACAGTGGCTGAATAACCACCCACGGCTGCTCCTCCACTGGAAATTCCCTTTCTTTTTGCCTTTTCCTCCATTTGCATCTCCTCCCATCCATTTCTTATATGTATTCCTGGGCCCCACACAGCTTGGGAAGCCTGTTGGAGGCAGCAGTAGGTAACCCAAACCAGACCCACAGCAGAGCACAGGACTAAAATACAGCCTCCATCTCTCCCACAGGCTCTTGGTCTTTCTTTCAGCTCAGTGTGGTTGCCAGCTCACTCACCTCTTGGACTCCACTGCCTGAACTGTCTCAGATGTGAACAACGCTGCAGCACAGCCCTTACAGCACTGTGCATAGCTTTTGACACAGAGCCTCAGTGTTTGTTACTCACAGGCTCCTTACCAATAGACCTCAGTCTCACAGTGCTGTCAAGACCCAAAGTAAAATGACCCTTGGAAAAGTTGTGAAATATTTTTGATTGCTAAGAATGGGCAGACCAGAGCAGTGCCATTCCCCTGCCCCAGATCCACAACCCATTTCAAAGATATTTCTGATTTTATTGGCTTCATCCAAAGGAGAAAATTCTGCAGACTCTATGTTTCTGTCATACGGATCTATATGCAGTGATCAGTTTTACATTATTCACGATCTCACATTTTATTGCTGTGTGTCTCTGCAGTCTGAACACAGTTGTCGCTCTTAGAGACAAAGAGATTTCTGCCAGCTAGTGGAAAAGCTGCTATGAAATACGGTGAGTGAAGTTTACAGGTTGCTAGAGGGAAATTCCCGTTGGCTTTGTAATAAGCATTTAATATTTAACATCTTTTTCCTTTACTACTTTTGCTATTGCAGCTCCCAGAAAGCCTGTTTGAGCTCTGCTGAGATGATATCAACAGCAGTACTTCAGAAAGCCAAGAATGGTATTTTGAAGTGTGAGAAGGTACATGTTTATTTTCCAAAGCATGTCTACGAAAGGTATCATAGATGTAAAGAGGACGAACCAGTGGTGCTGATGTCACGAGAAGCTGAAGCCAACAGTTATGATGTAAGAGTAACATTAAATTAACCATTTTTGCAGTGCTGCATTTTCTGCTTCTCAACCTCACAAAACAAACAAAAAACCCAAACAGTTACCTGCTGCTCTTGCAGGGTAGACAGAAAATGAGATTTAATTGCATTCTCACACACCAAGCTGTTTCAGCAGCTTTTCCCAGGCTGTCATCCACATGAGTGGCAATCAGTGGGCCAGGCTGAGTAGCCAACACTTCAGTCTCCGTGTGGGAGCACACTGAGCTGTGCTTTCAATAAGCTTTGCAATGAGAGATTTGGTACTGTGTGAGCAGTGAGCCACAAAGACATTGTAAAATCTGGCAGGAATATTCTGATGCAAAAAAGACTGTGATCTAGAACACAGGTTTCACTCTTCAGTTGTTTTAGCTTTAGAGTTTTAACCTGGATCAACGGAAGCAACAACAGTAAAAACACCTAAATGTCCACCTTCAGTGCTGGGCATGAAACTATTGCTTCTTAACAGCTCTGGAATGTCTGGAAAGAGCTGTATTGATACTATATTGAAATAAAAAGGAGTTGAAGGCGCACCTTGTGCCCTCAATAAAATGTGATGTTGCACAATCAGAGCTGTGAGACAGAACTGTGATTACCACAAGGAAAGGTCCAGGACTGATGAATAGAATGCTCACACCTGTACTATGGCTGTTTCTTTAGCTTTGTAGCATCAGGCTGCTGAGGCTTTCCAGATAGGGAAGTAAGAGGGAAGTAACTGCAAGGTAAGCATCTTCAGGTCTTTCTCTGTGCTCCAGGATGTAACAGTTTGAACCCTGGGGACTCATGGATGCTTCCAGATGTATGGTGGCCCAAGAAAGTGAAATCAAGAAGTGAAAGCAAGAAGACTGCAGCCCTTCAGAAACCCTCCCAACTACAACTCTCAAGCAATCCTTTCTGCAGTGTCTGCAGAGCTAACAGTTGACATGATCTCCACAAACCAACAAGAACGTACAGTGTACTGGATAGAATAGCAGGTCCCACAAGTAGTGGGAAACATGACCAGGAGATTCCACATCTTAAATCCAAAAGCTGTGACTCTGCCTCACATTTACACCCGTGCTAATGTTAAGACAGAAGAGTAGTCCCCTGGTAACTACAGCCCAAGTGTGTAAACGCACAGGTGTGAATACCCCTGTCACTTTGCTGCTGAAGGCATAAGTGTTAGCAAAACACAGCTTTGAACTGACAAAGACATGCAGTCCGTCCTGTGAACACAACATCCACACACCTGAAACAGCAGCCTCTACTGTGGGACGTACAATGGCTTTTTGCTGCTGGATCTGTGCTTTAAATGTACTGAATCAAGTTATTCTTTGGGATAACTCTTTCATACCCTGTGGTAGCAGTGCTAGTGCAATTTGTTTGGCTTGATACAACTTTTTGTCATGTTGCAGAAGATGTGAGACAGGAAGAAGGAAATGGGATACTGCATGCATAACATGCAGTCTCTTAAAGACAACTAGCAAAAGGCAGAGTAATAATCTCCTGTGTGGACAGCAGAATCTCCACAATTCTCTTCCTGCTATTTATTTATGCATAATGAATGTGTGCATGTATCTATTTCTATTTCCTGCATCTACAACTAATTTCTCTTGCAAAAAAAAAAGCCTGGTCTGCTGCGCTAGCAACCGGCGTGAGGTTCTTAAAGTTGTCAGCAGTTTTCCATTGCCTTACAACGTGTGACAAGCGAGAAGCTGAAGACAGGAGCCTGCTGCCCTTTAGAGTTCCCTGAGCAGGAGGGCAAAGACTAATCAGGACAGGTACAAGGCTCCTGAAGAAGCAATCCAAGAATCCTTGCAACTCTCAGACGCTTAATCCTGGAGGCTGCCATTTGGAACTCTGCTCCAGAGCCTGCAAAACACATTGTACACAACAGAGGCCTGTCAGCGTTCACTGGGGAGTGAAAAAACATCTCGCAGGCAGCTGTGGTGACGTGGTTGAATGAGCTGGGCTGCTGGGGCAGCCAAATTCTTCTCAGTCGCACCAGCCAGAACAAACAGCACTTCATGCCAGCAGAGGGGCAGGCGTGGTGCGTGCAGGGTGTGAACTTCCACCGACGCACTTCCGTGGCCATCAGCGCACGGTGACACGTCCACCTGCCTCTTTGCTCCTTAATACCAAGGGAATGACCGCCATTAATTAACCGGAGCCTCGAGCGGCCCTGCACTGTGATACCTTCCGAACGTTAGACCCGCGTTAGCGTTTGATCAGGACGTTTATCAGGACGCCCTGTATTTTGTAGGCTATCCCGAGTTCAGCAGCGGCTGAACGTTAAACGCGGTTTGCGAGAGCAGCGTCCGAACCGAGGCCGGCGGCTCGGGGCCGTCCCCGCTGCCGGGGGGGGCCGTTCCTGCGCCACGCGGGGCCAAGAACGTTTCTTTAATCGCCAATCCGACTCTCCCCGACGCGGCTTTGGCGACCCGCTGCGGAATCAGCGTCCAAAATGCAAGTCTGACCGCACGCCGAGCCGCGGGGCCGCGGGGCATCGCGCCCGAGCCCGGCACGGCGCCGCGGGGCCCCCGAACGGCAGCGCGGCCACGGCGCCGGCCGCAGGGACACCCCGGGGCCATCCCCGGCCGGGGGCGGCCCCTTCCGCCGTCTGCGGCTCCTCCTCCGGGCGGCGGGGAGGGAGAGGCGGCGCCCGGGCTCCTCCCGCCGCCGTACCGCCGCGCCTCCGTGCCGCCGCCCGGGCCGCTTCCTGCGCCGGGGAGCGACGTGTCGGCGCGGCGGCGCGCAGTAGGCCGCAGGTAGGCAGCGGGGAGCCCCGGCCGGCCGCCCGGCGCCGGGCCGCCCACACGGCCGCCTCCCGAGGCGAGGGGGGGGTCCGGCGGCCGCTCTCGGCAGCGGCCGGGAAAGTTGAACGCCCCCCCGGAGCCCTTTGTCTGGGCGGCCCCGGACCCGGCTGGGCGGGCGGGCGCTGGCGGAGCGCGGGGCCTGGCCGGGGGGGTGCGGGGGAAACCGCGCGGATCCCTTCCTCCCTAAATATCTATTTCGTATTTCCATGGCAACCGCGGAGCGGGAACGGGGCGGTCGTGGGGGGGTTTGCCCCGCGGGGACGTGCCGGGCTCTAACGGGGGCTTCTCCCCTCAGGTCCTCGGCTGCCTCGCAGCCACGGCGGCGGGCGGTTCTCGTATGATGCAACCGGCAGAGATATGACGACGGCCTCCTTCAGGTGCTCCGGGAGTGTTTTCACCGAGGTGCGGGCGGTGCGGTGGGTCTGCTCGGGAATGGCCGCCCCCATGTGCAGCCTGGGGGACGGCACGGGGAGCGCCGTTCTCGTTCGCCTCTTCCCAAACACCTCTCCGAACCGGGATCTCGGTCGCTTGCCCCACTGTTGTTGCGCTGAGGGATGTGATGCGGCAGCGGGGCTCTGTAGGTCGGGTGGATGCTCGGACCTGGCGATCCTGAAGGTCTTTTCCAACCTGAATGGCTCTGTGGTTCTGTGATAGAATTGTGGAGAAATAAAGGTTCTTCCCTTTCCCACCTTGGCAGATGCAAGTCTTGTTGAGAGGGACACAGTTTGATGTGTCTGTCAAACATTGACCACCTGTACTCTCAACCAAACATTAACTTTCTCTGTGACATCCAGTTCTGACCTTACCGTTTCGTTGATTTTCCTCATCCTTTTTCCTTATATTCTATAAACACTTTGGATTTCTGTTCTAGAACACTGAGTAGTCTCAAACTTGTAAAGTGCAGCAAAATATCTGTCTGAGAGATTTGCATGTGTGCTTTTGAGAGTCTTAAGATGCAGGTGGTGTGATGACTTCATTCTCTGAGGGAGTCCTCCACGAGAAGGTGACCTATGAAATGAGGATCCTAAAGTGTAACCACGATTGCCCTGTGCATCCACAGCTGCTTTGTATCCCTATGAAGCCGCGTTCTTACTAAACACTCTGACTGCAGTACGTTAATTGTTGTAGTGGCTGCAGTAATTCTCCAGTCTGAGAGCCTGTGTGACAGTTTCACAAACTGTAGCATATACAAAAGCTATAGTTGCTCCATTGAAATCCTTTGGAAGTAAGACAGTGCTTCTTTTGGGTAGGAAAACAATGCCAAAGATGAAGTAATAGACAGGAGGTCTGCAGCTCTCTAAGCAAAAGCCACTGTGCGTTGTGTGGGCAGCCTCTCCAGTGAGGCCTGCAGTCTGTGTGCTGGGAGGGAGATCGGCCTTTCCCATCCTGTTCCCCAGTAATATCTGGGAACATCTCTCCTGGGTGTCCTTAGGTCTTCAGCAACCAATTTCTCTGTAGTAGAAGTTTGGTGTGTATACAGAGAAATTTTGTCTTGCTGTTGGCAGCATGAACTTCATGGGAAGAGAAAGGGATGTGTGTTGAACAGAAACATTTCCTTGAGAAGTCTCAGAGGAGTCAGAGAGGGTAGATTGAGAACCCAGCCTGCAGACTTTCTCCCTGTCAGTTTGCGTGGGAAGAAGTTGGGAAATGGAGCTGTGTAGGTATCATTTCTTTTGGGGCAGCAACTTGGTGTGAAAGCCACTTCTGCTTTCCCTTCTCACACTCTGGGGAAATGAGGAACTGTGTGTCTCTTCAGGAGAAGAGTGAAGGGCAACAAATGCCCTATGCTCCAGGGCTTGCATTCTTCCCTGTTGGGAGGCTCAGTTTTGCTTTTGATTTCTGTATCTTTTTTTCTTTTTTTTTTTTTTTTTTTTTTTTAGCTCATTTTTACAGTTTTTATTATTGTTATTTTATTTAAGCTTCATTTTGTTAATTCCTCCTGCTGTTGTTTTTTGAATAAAGCATAGAGAAAGGATGAGCATGTATGGATGTTTTGCTTATATCTTTAAATCTTTCTGGAGCTATGTATGATTATGTCTGAGCAAATACGACGCATTGTAGATTCTGTGTCTTCAGCTCTTTGCATCAGTCTTACCTAGGTGTTAGGTTTTAAAACAATCTGAAGATTCTCTTCAAAAGGAGAAGAATCATTAATGTATTTTCCTCTTACTCAAAAATGTCAAACTCATTTTCTGACCAGATGTTCCAAAATGCTCATCTTTGGATAAAGAAAATGCTAGGGTATTTCAGCTTTGAGGCTGAAATAGAGCACAGAAAGAAGCACAGACTCATCCCTCAATTCACAGCCTAAGTGGCCAAGAAATGGTTGTTGGAGTAGCTTATCAGGTGCTTTGCAGTGTTGTAGGAAGTGTCCATTGATATTACACAATTCCTGTGAACAGGGAAGTAAGTCTTTGCTTTCAATTTTAGGAATTCCAATTGTAGCATTCCCAGACTTTTTTATCGCTACGGAAATATTTACTTGTCCTGTAGGGGGACGCTCTGAGGAATGAAAAGGAAACGGTGAGATGATCCTTTTGGTTTTGATCTGTCGGGCCCCTCTTAACGCTTATGAGAACTATAAACAAACACGGTGGCACTTCCTGATGCTCCCCAAGGCAAAACTTCAGTGGTCGTGTTTGCCGCACACTTGCCCTGCAGAATGGCTTCCTGCCTCCCGCAGGCCGGCTGGCATCCTGTATCAAGCTTGCTTAATAAGGCTTACTACAAAGTATGATGCCTGCTTTTGGATAATCCTTGTTCGCAGCTGTTTTGCATAGCACCAGGATTGTTAAATATTCTTGATTGGCTATTGCGTAGCTGCTTGAGGTTGTTTAGGGCTTTGATATGGCTTTGCAAAGATGTCATTCTCCTGAAAAATCAGATTGCTAGAACATTAGTTTCAGGTTAATGAATTGGACATAACTCTGCTGCAGATAGCAAGGGGAAAGCCTGTGCTGGGAAACTTGCTGCTGACACAAATCACCACGATTTTCTGTCAGACTCCTTTTGGGAAGTCAGAACCTTAGCGTTACCATTTTTGCTTGGTGCATTTCTGCCTCTCCTCAAAATGTCACCACTCCACAGCCTCTGCCTTTGAGAGGCTTCTAGCTGGAGTGCCTGCTGGGGCTCCTTGATCTGCGTTCAGCTGTACGTACCTCTGCGGAGCTGGATGAGATGCTTTTCTCTCACCATTTTGCAGGAGGCGATGCGCACTGTAATGCTGATGCCTGAAAAGAAGAGTACAAAGGGATTTTGCTCCCTTCTTTTGTGATAGGGTGGGCAAATAGCCACGAGACCTTCTCTTGTCTGATACACATTTTTTTTACTGCTTTCTTAATTTTTTTTTCTGCATGATTCTGCTGCTCCTGGCATTGAAGAACTTGATGCATACTGACCTAAATAGCTGTAGGAAAGTCTGTTCCTCCAGTGCAGAAGCTGCCTTCTGACTTCAAATTAGTTTTCTTCCTTGGGAAACTAGGTTTCCGGATGAGAAGAAATGCATTTGGTGCATTGGATATAGCACAGATGTTCCATTTAATTTGTTTCATTTAGTACCTGGAGAACTGTGAAATAACAGCTTCAGAGATGGTTTGTCTATAGGGAGATACCTCTCTTTCTTTCAAACTTTTAACAAAATGTGTACACTTGTGTATTATTCTGAATAATTAGTGAGTACGTGCACTCAAACAACCATAGACTACTCAGTGACAGGGGCTTTGGGGGATAATGTTTATCAGTGATTTCAGCTGAGAGGGCAAAAGAAACCTGTACAAAGTATGTATGAAATACAGGTGCTGTTTTGCCCTGGCCTTGTAGTCCACCCGCAGTGCTTTCCTAAAGTCAGGTTCCTTTTTTCTTGCCTGTTTCCCCACGTGAGGGAAGCCCTATGAGATGGCAGAGCGAGTGAGTGCTCTTGCTGTTATACGGTCCTGGTACAGGGGATGCTGAGAAGGTAACATGGTGAGGTTCAGCACAGCCCAAGGAGGTGCAGAACATGCTGGATTGTGACAGTATATCTGGGTATGAGTGGAGCTGACAGCTGATACATGGTTTCCTTGTCAAGCTCCTGTTGTTCCCGTGAAGCTAATCTGGGTGGTCACCACTTGTGCAGGGAAGGTGTTCCTTCAGTCTAGGAGGATGAGATTAGGGATACTATTAGAAGATGTGTGGAATGTGCCGAGGTACACTCGTGTGTCTGACTAGAAATACGTGCCTATTTATTGGGCATTCAGGAAGGCTGGGCTGACACAGGCTCCTCTCCAAGTTGTACAAGGAAGAGAGCTGTTAAAAGGACCACCAAACGGGATTGATTTGGCATGGGTACAAGTCACAGCTCTCCTCTGACTCCCACCTTACCACCTCCCTGACAATCTACTGCTTGCTCTGAAAGCCTAGGATGTAGATAAGTATTCAGAAAGCACTTGAGTTAGTAGAACAGCTCGCACTGCCTTACCCTTATTCTCTGGAACTGCTTAAACCTTTTAGCTGAAAGCTAACTCTCAGCTCCTTCACTGGAAGAGATGTCTGTCTTGAGGTACATGGGCAAGCGTGGAAATCTCAGTCCAAGGAATTAGCTGGTTGAAAGATATAGCTTGCATTAATCTAGGCTGCTACACACTGTCTTACAAAGGTGGTTTGTACTTAACTCCTGTGATGGCTTTCTTGTTACAAGGTTAAATCCTGCTGATTTAATAAAAGGCTGTATAATAATGGAGTGGAAAACCTACACTTCTGGGGACAGTGTAAATACACTGACTGGACCAATAAGAAACACACTGCTGGGTCCCAGAAACAGTCCCTGCTGGTTTCTTCCCTTTCAGTTATATTTCAGGTATCCTTTTCCTTAGGCAGCATCTCCAGTATTTATGACTTCTGGAAAGGAAATGTTTTGCTTTAACATGAACTGTGAGCAGCTTCTGATGGTTTTCTACTCCAAAAGGCATTAGTGAGCCAGAGCAGCACCTGAAAATGTTTTGATTCCACTCTATAGTTGCCAGACAAAGCGATGGAAGGCAGCAGCAGCTGTAATGTGGCATTCATTCCCAATGAGAAACTTCTCAGCTCACCTTTGGGAGCAGAGCATATTGATCAGAGGTACCTGGTGGTGTTATATGAGTGTCTCTCATCTTGAGTGATGTGGAATACTTAAAGGAGAACTTGCTCAGTGTTGTGTGGTTAGCTTGAAGCCCTGGGTGCTTAGTGTCTCCTCTCAGTTGTTATGTTTTCGTGACCAAAACAGGGTTTGGAGATCAGGTTCTCTGAACTGGGGAGGTATCTGGAGTTAGTAAGCTCTCAGGTGCGCTGTGTAGCACCAGCTGATCAAAACTGCCAGCTAAAGTTGAAGCTGCTGTTAATAGCATTTGGGAGGTAGTGTGTAGATAAAGGAGAAATTACTACTTCCTTCCCTTCCTTGTAGAAATTGTGCTGGTTTCATACGTTCTAATTTATGTTGTTAGTGTACATTGTGGCTTTACAAACTCGAATGTGCTCATGTGAAGATTCCTAGCAGAAACAGTCAACCCAAAAAAAGCAGTTACCTTAAGTAGCAAATAGAAAATTGCTCAATAGTAGTAATGGAATGCTGCCAGAAAATGAGGAGACCTGAGAACAAAGCTAACCATGGATAGGTGAGGTGTAGTTTGTGCCTCTTGTCATGTAGTGTGTGTACTGGATGCTTCAAATCTTACCGTATCAGAAACAGCATGAGTAGCCCTTAGAATATGGAGAGGCAGTTTCTGAGGAACTTCATGCAAATATTAATGGTTCTATAAAAAATAATCCAACCAACAGGTGCACAGGAGCTACAGCCGTTCTGTGCAATTATTTCTGAGTAACACTCAGAAGTCGTGTTGTTTGTTGTGCTCTTCTAAGTGCTGAGAGCTTTGTGGTGAAACTGAACTCACAGAGGAGTCATCACAGCACTTCTCAGAGTTGATGTGATTAAGGTACTGCTGACTGCTCAGGTCTCTTGCTTTGCTGACTGCACAACAGCCAAGCATTGGTCATATATCATCTGATGTTTATTCCACACTTCACGGCTGTGTTCAGGCAGTAAGGATAGGTAGCAGGTGTAATTTCATGTCATCCTTTAAGGGAGTTAATGCAGTGAGCACAGAATAGCTTTAATATCTTGCAGGAGCGTAGCAAATGTAGCTCTAATCCTGTGAGTATTTCCATTGTTACACCAGGACCTGATCCCCTCGGTTTTTTGGTTATGTTAGTTTAATGTGTGTTGCTAGACAAAACGTGAGTAAATTATGGTGATTACTGGAGAGAACAGAGTTAATCTAGCACAGTTCTAATCATATGCCACTTAAAAACTGGGGTCATTGTTACCCAGACACACATTCCTATTGCTGCACCTATGCTGTTCTAAGCAGGAGGCTCAGAGGGCTCCCACTGCATAATTCCTGCTCACAGCTTTATGAGGTAGCTCTAGTTAGCTGCAGTGCACCTGCATGGGAAGGGTTCAGGTCTGCAGCAGTTTAGTTCTGTGTTAATGTTGAACATCACTGTTTCCTGTTCCTTTAAATCAGCAGATTTGTCTTTCACCACGTTGTTTAAAATGCTCATTCAGATGGCTGGTTATAAATCCATTTGTCTGTGAAGTCTTTAGCTGGATAGCACGAAGAAAGATGTGCGAGTGAGCAAGTGAAACGGTGTTTTTCATTGGTCTGACGGTTAAGGGGTTGGGGTGTGGGGCTGGGTGTGTGCCTTCACCTGGACTTCTTAGGTTTCCCTTTGTAATTTGGTTTTAATGCTGGTAACTGTGTCCAGTTGTCTTCTCTCCCTCTCTTCGAAGCAATGCCTCCTACTGTAAGGACTGCAGTTTGAGGGATGCCTGGCTTTGGCAGTACAGATCAGTTTATTTCTGTGCAAACGCGGCTGTTCAGAAGGTTAATTATCCATAAAGCCCTGACTTATGAGTCTACCAGAATAGCTGCTAACTATGAATAATTTAGTGCAGCATCGTATTGCTAGCCACTTAAGAAGGCTTCTCTGTCTGTGAATCTTTGTATCTTGTTGAAAGCCACTCAATAGTATGAAGGTTACTGCTTGCATTGACATTTCATTGTTCTCTTTTCGCTCTGTTTTAAGAGTTTGACAGTATGTAAAGGCAATGGAATGTTTTAGGGTGATGAGCAATAAAAATGCCTGTACCAAAGTAGTTTGTGTCTGAAAACTTGGAAGTACTGAACTTGTCTTCAGTGTTACGTTGACCTTTGTGTGTACTTTAAATCTTGCCCTAGCATAATGCAGTTAGCGTTGTGGCCGAGGCATTTTATGTGCTTCAGACAAGTCACATCTTAGGATATTATTTGGAGCAATGCTTTGTTACAGAGAAAGGATAGAAACTTAACTGAAGACTCGAGAGCAAGAGTGAAGGTTTTCAGTGCTTCCTACAAACGGCTTTAGCTTCTCATGTGTCTGGCTAGGGCAGACCTTGAGTCGTGTTACAGAGGCTCTTCTGGGGAGAAAATCTGCCAGTGCAGGACTTTGAAGCAGCTCTGATGTAGTGCTTGGCAACCCTCCCTACAGGGGAGCTGGAACTTGATTCTTGAGGTCCCTTCAACCTAAGCCGTTCCATTAGAGAGCTTCACAAACAAATAATATGGGTTGAGAGTGTCAAGGGAAGAGCATAAGAACACCCGCCCTCTAACAGAAGTAGTAACAGAGTTCTCTTTGGGATGCTTTGGGGAGAGAGACTGATGTTGTCTAATGAAGGTGTGGCAGATTACTACACCCACACTTCCCTTTGTGCTCCCATTCTCTATCTCAATTAGTAAATTCAGTACTGACTACATAGGAGACAACCACCACTCCCCTGAAGAGGAGGAGGTAGGGTTCCTGCTCCTCTGCACACTTATGGAAAGGGTTCTGCTGAGCTGTTTTCACCTCTTCAGCAGTCACTTATGGCACACAGAAGCATGTTTACCATGTTGGCAGCAGAAGGGAGTAAGGCACATGTCTATCAGGCATTCAAGGCCAGGCTGGATGTGGCTTTGGGCAGCCTGGTCTGGTGGTTGGTGACCCTGCACATAGCAGAGGATTCAAACTAGATGATCATTGTGGTCCTTTTCAGCTCAGGCCATTCTATGATTCTATCTGCTATAAGTGCAGATGGCCGGATGCCTGACCAGCATTCCTGCTGCAGTGCTTGTTGCTTTGTGCTCCTGCTCCTTGGGTGCTCTCCTAGTGCTGTGTATCTTAGCTCAGCCTTAGAATTGTTTTGCAGGATGCTTCCAGCCTAGTTTAGAAAGAGGAAATTATTTTTTTTTCCAAAAGTGTTTGCTGCAGTATAAGTGATGCTGTTAGAAGTTGGTAGTTAAATGCCAAGATCTTGCAAGATGTGTTTATTTCCCTTGAGAGGGGAGGTTTCGGATCAGTGCCTCTGAGCTGTGCGTGATGGGGAGGTTTTGGTGAGCTCGCACACCTGCAGTAGTTCTGCATTTGGCTACTGAGTCAGCGTGGAGCAGCTGCAGGATGACGGGTGCAGGCAGCAGCTCCGTGCCCACATACAAGGCTGGGCTGTTTACTCAAGCTCCCTGCTATCTCCCAGGGAGATGTACCCTGAGAGTGTGTGCTGGAACTGCAGTAGTTCTGGCGACAGGAAGGCCGAAGTGCCTGAAAGATTTCTGCTACTGTTGCTGTTAACATTTATTGTGTCTGCATTTATTGAACTAACCTTCATTCCTGAGGACAGGGGAGGAAACGGGCTGTGAAGTTGCATTCTGCCTTCTGGTTTTGTCTTTAAAATGTTTTTTTAAGTAACTTCATTGAAGCCTGGATGTTTATTGTTTCTCATTTAGCTTTTATCAAGTGGTGATTTTATGCAATGGCATCAAGCCACAGTTCTTCACCAGTGCCTCAGCCAAACAGCAGCGATGCTTTCTTTAAAAAGGAAAAGGATGTTGCAAAACGCTTCCAGCCCGTGCAGTCACTGCCTGATGTGTGTCCCAAGGAGCCTACAGGTAACGTTGGTGGGCAAAGACGGTGAAAATGCAATTAAATTTGTGAACTCAGAAATCCCCTTTCAATTCTTCAGTCAAATATTGCTGTATTCTGGGTGTAGCGTAATAAGCTCTGGTCTTATTTCAAAGTATGCCATCATTCTGCTTTATACCACCTGGCTCCCTTTGGAGCAATGGCAGAGCCTTCCCACTTGCAGCTTCTAATTAGATCTCCACACGATATGTAGGATCTTTTGAGGGTGATCATACACTGTACCACATGCCAAAAGAAGGTATATTCTGTGGGAGCCTGTAGCAGACCTACCCAGCATGCTTGCAGCCCAGCTGCTTTACTTCTTGGGAACACACAGAGCCCTCTTGCAGTGGGAAGCAAAAGACAAACCTGTCTGTACCTCTGTAATAAGTCCCTAGCAGTGTCATAACACCAACCAAAGTTATAGCTGCTGTGTTATACCAAGCTAGGATGAGATCTTAAGAATTGCAGAATATAATTCAAATGGACTTTGACTATTTCTGATCAAGTAATCAGTTGAGATAGTGGAAAAAATTTTCTAAGTGATTAGATTCCTGTCTGTTTGGTGTAACTTAATGGTGTTGAGCTAAAGATGGTGAGCGTGGGTTTGTTATTGTGTTCAAAACTTGTACTGATTAATCTGATGGAAGAAATGTCTCAGCGCTGGGAGAAATGGAGATGTAACGTGTCTTTTGTGTAGGTAATTCTGATCCATTGTGTAACTGCTAGAACACGGTTTGCTTAAGAACCACATTTTAACAAAAACTATGGCTTTCAGTTTCTCAGCTTAACAAACTGTCTTGTCTTTTGTGCTGCAGGCGATGCCAGTAGTTTATGTGACAGCCCGTCTCTAGTTGCGGATCAGCACAGATGGACTATTTATCATTCCAAAGTCAATCTCCCAGCAGCACTAAATGATCCTAGGTTAGCAAAAAGGGAATCTGATTTCTTTACAAAAACATGGGGAGTGGACTTTGTGGACACTGAAGTCACGCCTTCATTCTACCTCCCACAGATCACCAAGGAACATTTTGCATTATACCAACAGGAGATCGCTCCGGTAAGAACCCAAAGTCAGATGCATGTAGTACTAGAAAGAGATGTGAGAACCTCCTCCTAATTAGAGATTGTCCCTGTTAGTAGTGCATCATACAGTTAGCTGATGATTAATTTGTTCTCCAATGCTTGTTGACTTTCCGTCAGGTGTTTCTTGTTTTATCTCATTATTCTTAGAGTGAGAAATGTCTGAATTCTCTCTAGACAATGCCATGTTTTTTCTTTTGTATTTCTGAATGCTGTACTCTGTGCCAGGGCTTACAGTTATGTCAGTTCTTTCTGATTATTAATCCTTTTTCTGTAGGGATTCTTTCGTTGTGTGAGCTTTACAGCTCAACATTTTCAGACCTTTGAATCAAATCTGGAGCATAACTACGTGCTGCAAGAATTATTTTTTTTTTTTTTAAGAATCTCCAATGTAAAAATTCATACATGAACCTGTTAAACTATTATCTTGATGATTTCTTTTGTAACAGGAAATTTTAAGCTACATCTAAGGATGCCAGGGCCAGTAGGAGACTTCTAAAAACTCTTTAAAATACAGGTGTCAGTAAGTATGTAGTAACATTCTTTTTCTTTTTTTCTTTCCTGAGCTGAAAGAACACACAGAAGTCTCCCACTGTTTTCTGCTTCCTTGGTTTGTAGCTTTTTCTTAATTTTCTGCTGTTAGAGGATGAGTTACAGGAGGTGTTAGCTGTGTAAATAGTAGTTGCAGTATGCGAAAGAGAATTGTCTTTAGTGCCATTTGTTCACACATTCAACACCTAAAATACTTAAGAGCTCATCTGTTAAAATTAACTTGTAATGAAAGCAGTGACTGCAAAGCAAAGAAGGTTTTGGGAAGAGGGAACTGAAGCACGACGTGGCTTCTAGCAGAGGTCCAGCTAACACTGGTGGTCTTCAAAAGTGCAATTTCTAATTGCTGTGGTCACCAGTGTTGATTGTACCTGTAGATAAAATTTGAAGCTCAGCATGACAAACCAAGATATTTGGCTTCAGCTGGGTGAACTAGCAATGAAAAAGCATTTTTTGTGTGTTAGTGTGATGTCTGGATCAGACAGCAGATGAGTGTTGTCATTACATTGATCTATTGTTTTATCTCCTTACATAGAGAGGCTGTTGTGGCTTTTCAGTAATTTCTGTGTTCGTTTTCTCTTGACCTGTAAAGATACTGAAGAAACAACATATCACAGGTTGAACTTTTCGGTCCTTTCACCTGACAAACATCATCTGAGTTTTTAAGAGGGAAAGAAATATTACTGCACAACTTTCAGAATTATTTAGCAGAATGCACTGTGTTTCTCTGAAAATGTTCTGTTTCAGAGAAAAAGTATTTTTTTTAACTTCTTAGAGTAATTCTTTTAATGTATTTTCTGTTTTACAGAGAGAGAAAGTTCACGAAAGATGCAAGAATATTTGTCCTTCTAAAGATACCTTCGACAGGACTCTATTACACACCTATGGTACAGTCAGAGCCCTCTTTTAATCATTAAAAAGTCATTTATTTCATGAATTCTGTAACACACTGATTATTTCCTTCACTTGCTCATAGGCTTCATGTGCAAAAATAGCTGCTGGTGATTGCTTTGTAGCAATAATTGAAAACCCAGCCATAATTGACCAGGCTCATTCATGATGGCTGCTGATATTTGATAGGTCAAAATGCTTGTGAGACCTGCTCATAATTTCTTTCTTGGCAGGTCATTAGTCCTTGGCAGTATTTTTGACTTTCTTTTGTTTAAGATAAGCTGAAACCATTGCATCAAATTTCTTTGCAAAGAAGAGCAGCAGCAACGGGCCAGCCCAGCTTATCTGCCTTGAGGATCCCAGAATGGCTGAGATGGGAAGTCATGCCTGAGGATGCTCTGGTCCAAACCCCCTGCTCAAGCAGGGTCACCGAAGGCAGCTGCCTTGTATTCTGTCCAGTTTGGTTTTAATTATCTCCACAGATGGAGGCTATGTAACCACGCTGGGCAGTCTTTTTCAGTGTTTGGCCACCCTCAGAGTAAAAGATGAAATGTTTCATGTTTCAGTTTGTACTTTTTGCCTCTTGTCCTATCACTGGGCTTATGAAGAGTCTGACTTCTTTACAGCTGTCCATCAGATACTTATAAACATTACTAAGAGCTTTTCCAGGCTAAGCAGTTTGAGCTCTCTGAGCCTCTCCTCATGCAGAATACACCCTGCTCCCTCTTCCAACTTTGTGCAGTGGGTTCAATGACAGGCCAGTGTGTTCATATCTTCTACTGGGCAGTGCAGAACTGGCCATGGTGTTCCAGATGTTGTCTCACCATGCTGCTTAGAGGGAGGATTGCTTTCCCTCAGCCTGCAGGCAGTGTTCTTCCTAATGGAACCCAGGATGCTTGGCCACAAGGGTGCACTGCTGGCTCACGGTCAGTTTGTTGGCCACCAGGACCTGAAGGGCCTTCTCTGCAGAGGTGTTTCTCAGATCACTTTTAGCAAAGTGCTTTTTGGTGTCTGCAGTTGTAGTAAAGTGGAATTTCTGAACTTTTCAGAAATAGTTCAGCTAATAAAAAACTGGCCAAAGGAAGAAGAGAAACAAAGGGAAAAAAAAATGTAACCTGTAGCAAGTTTGTAACGTTTAATTTCTTTTGAACTGTTTTCTCAAAAATGTTAACATAAGGTTCATCTGTCAATCGCTGTTCGATCAGGCTCATTCTGTATAAATGATCCATGGGTCATGCAGCAAAAAGCAAAAAACGTTTACTCTTCATTAAGTTGTTCTTCCAGTCAGTTTTCTTCCTCCTTTTCCATGCATAAAGATACCCTTATGTAGAGTTTCTCTGGGCTCGTTCTTTTGAAGCAGTTGTCCCTGACTGAGTCTGTTTGTGGCACATACCGTAAAATAGAATTTCCTTCTTCAGGCTTAGCTTAATTCATTTTGAAAGAGTTTTTTGTTTTGAGAAAGAAAATGACTCTGTCACCAAAGTAACTGGGAGCTCCTGGTTTGTGTAGAGGGGCAATTCCTCACTGAAGCATCATTAGGTAATCTGAAGCTCTGATGTTGTAGTTTCTTTTTTTGGCATTGCCTGTTTTCCCCTAACTCCAGCCCACAAGACCAGGCCTTTTAGTTCTGTAAGAGTTGGTCTGTATTTCAATATCTGTAAGGTGACAAAGAGGTGAGGGAAATGTGGGGGATAATGCTGATGTGGTGTTTGCCACACTTCTCAAAGACAGATGGACACTATTGCTTTGAAATTCTTCACTTTACACTGCAATATACTCGTTCTCCCAGCTCAACTAGCTCATCCCATGCAAGGTTCAGTGGAGCTTACCTCAGAGAGAAGGCTGCTTCTGTGCTATGTGCTCGGTGTGCTTGAGATTAGTCCTGAGTTCTCATTCATCCTTCTGGCCAGCTGTTATGCATCCACACTCCTAGTGCTGTGCACAAATCATTCTATGAGCAGCTTTGATTTGGATCACCAAAATTGGGGTAATGTTAGATGGGCTTTTACTGGCTCTTTGCAGCTGATTGAACGCTGCATGGTGGAATGTGAGGTCCAAAGTAGACTGCTTTGTACTACTAATGTTTTCACTGCCAAAGCAGCCAAGTAGGAACACTTTTGAACACTCTAACCACGAGACCTAAACTGCAAAGCACAGCAGGATGCTTGAAAGAGTCACAATAATTCAGGTTAGAAGGGGCACTGGTGCAAATGCTGTCTTAATGCAACGTCAGCTGTGTGGGCAGACCAGGCTGCTCAGGGCTTTACTCAATCAGGCCTTTAAAAATCTTCAAGGATGGAGAGTGTGCAGTGCCTCTGGACAGCCTGTTTGACTGTCCTGGTGAAAAATGTTTTCACATTCAGCCAGAGCCTCTAGTGTTTCAATTTCTGGCCCTGTCACCTGTCTACTCACTGTGAGGAGTGTGGCATTTTTGTTCTGAAAAATTCCTTGTAGTATTTAATAGCATTCAAGGAATTGTTTTCATTTCTTTGCTCATGAGTGACTACTTGTGTTTTGCTTAATTTTAGATAAATCCAGGACAGATCTGGAACAAGTACCTAAGGTATGGTTTTTCTGAACTCTAAGCTTTTATAAGGATTTCTCATAGAGTCTTGAATACATGAATGTACTCTCTTGTACGTGGAAGACTTGTCCAAATTAATTGAAGTGAGAGGATCTCTAGAACTTAAAATTTACCAAAATTAAGAACAGTCTGTTTGTTTTGCTTATTGTCTTTGTTTTGTTTCCTTGATCTTAATCCTGAAATAGATTCCCATGATTTTAGGATACACATGCCATTTTAAAAAATCTTTTAATAGTTAAAACTTTAGAGCTAGGCAAAATTAGCCATCCTGTGTTTCAGGAGGAAAGGGAAACCGAAGGGCTTGGCAGAAGTTTGGGTACTACGTAGTATGTATAAATTAGCAGTTGATTTCACTCCTCTAGTCCTCAAGTAAAGCACCTCTGTGATTATGAATGATTATGCTGATTATGAATGCAGCTGAGCAGCAATCACTGCATTTGAAGTCCCATAAGCAAAAATGTTCGAGTATAGTGGGATGCTATAGCCTGTGTTGAATCTATTAAAATTACACTTCATAAACAGAGAAAGGGATAGTGCTGTCCAGCTGGGTGCCCCAGCTCTGTGGTAGTTTTTTAAGTGAAAATAACACGACCAAGCCTTTCAGAGACCAGTACATTTGTTGTACTGTGCTAAAGGAGATGGGCTTCATGCTCTGTTCCTTCCCAAGCAGCACTTGGTGCACGTGGGCAGCTGGCTGCATCTTTGGTCTGCTGGAAACTAAGGCTCCATGAATGAATATATCAGCAGTAAGATGCCTCTGCTATGTAGGAATATTTGCACTGCTCCTTTAGGGATGCATGTGCAGTTTAGTGTTACCTATGCTTTCATGCTCAGGATATTTGATCATCTTGGGTGCTTGATAACACAGGTCGTTTTGGAGCTTCCTTCGGATTCTAGGAAGATGATGCTTTGTCAGATCGTGCAAGCTTTTAAAGTATGAAGTAAATCAGTTATAAGGTCTAGAACTAATTTGTCTGAGTTGATAAAAGAAAATTTGACTTTTGAAAAATGAACAAATAAGATCACTGTTCGTTTTGTGAACCAGGATGTCTGTTAAACTGGAAAGGAGTACATACGGATAAGAGAGATGCATTTATTTCTTCTATTTCTGTTTCAGATTTTTATGAAACCAGATTTTGCCTTGGAAGATTCCTTAACGTTTAATGCCGTTTTACCATGGTCTCATTTTAGTACTGCTGGTGGAAAAGGAAATCGTGATGCAGCTTCCTCCAAGTTACTTCAAGAAAAGGTAAGGCTCTGATACGATGTGTTGTTATTCTCCCTAGCTGTCACTACAAAGAAACTATTAGCAGTCCAGTCCACTGCTGCTGTCCTGTGCTTGTTGAGATGTTAGTGCATGGACTTTTGTAACTTAAGTTTTATCTCAGAATCATAGAATGGCCTGGGTTGAAAAGGACCTCTAAGGTCGCCTAGTTTCAATCACCTGCTGTGTGTAGGGTCACCAACCAGCAGACCAGGCTGCCCAGAGCCACATCCAGCCTGGCCTTGAATGCCTCCAGGGATGGGGCATCCACAGCCTCCTTGGGCAGCCTGTTCCAGTGCTTCACCACCATCTGTGTGAAAAACTTCCTGCTAATATCTAATGTAAACTTCCCCTGTCTCAGTTTAAAACCATTCCCCCTCATCCTATCACTGTCCGCCCTTGTAAGCAGTCGTTCCCCCTCCTGTTTATATGCTCCCTTCAAATATTGAAATGTTACAGATTATTAGTAAACAATGCAGGAAGTATCTTATTTGGGGAGGGCTCCTTTCCCTTCTAAATAAATGTATCTGTAAAAACTTGGCAAAAAATCTGCATATAGAACATTAATTGGCTCTTTGAGGAAGCGGGTATGCGTTGACAACTTCAGAGACATGGAGCTGTTAAGAAGTAAGAGCAGTTCCATGAGAAGGCAACAGCAGAGGCTTTAGAACACGTGTTAAGGCTACTGCTTTCTTGCATCTCAAGAAAACTTCAAATTGAAGGTCTCTATGTTAAAAGAAATCCAAAATCCAGATCTTTTATACGTCGGGAGTTTTCTCTTACCTTTTGCTATCAAGTCATCTGTACTGATCCATTTTTGCATTTTACAAAGAACTTTGGTATGTTGGAGAGCAGGGAAGCAGAGCTGCTTCACTCAAACATAAGTCCTGTCTTATGCTTTTTTGATGTTAGGTTATGTAGTCAGAGTAGAAAATAAATAGCTATCGGAAATGAACATAATTTTGGGTTCTGCTGTAACTTAGATTTTCCTTCCTGTTTAATTTGCTAAAGCTTCTGGGAGTTAGATTTAAAAAAATGAAAAGTGAAAAATAAATTAAGAAAAAAGAAAAAACAAGAGAGGCGCCTTAGGGAAGAAATAACACAAAATCCTTTGGGAGATGTTTGCAAATCTCGAGGAATTATTCTTCCTGATTTCCCTCCATGTCAGGAGGAACCAGGCAGGCTCTGCTACAAGGTAGCTTGCTCCTTCCTTGCATGTCCACCGTACTGAAAGGTTGCCTCTGGGATTGCTACTTTGTAGTTGCTCGTGGCACTTGCTGTGCAAAGATGAAAAAGCTGTGTCTGGCACAAGCTTGAAACTTGGGTAGTGCCTGTGTGCGGGGCTGGCAGCAGCAGGATGGATGCTCAGCAGCACTTGGAGTGAAGGAGACCCAGAGCCCCTGTTGCTGCAGCAGGGCGGGGATAGGGCTGTAGGTAGCTGTGAGACATGCTTTTTTAGAGATGATAAAAAGTACCTAAATAGCATAAAAAGTCCTTTGCCTTCCAAACCACATGCATGAAACCATATTACATTACTTAGTGGGTCCACGCTTCTTGTTTTTGCTTTTTAAAGGCTCTGAACTGCCTCAAGTTTGCTTGCATCAGTCAGATAGGTAGATAGTTATCCTGCTGCACTAATTTTCACTTTAGATCCCAGTGCTATTTTGCAACAGGTTTTGGAAAAACCTGCTATAAACACGCATAGTTAGGCTCTTACTGCTTATGCACTTGAGCAGTTTCCCTCTGAAAATTTAGTCTGTCTTTAGTCTGTCTCATTCTATTTCTTGGCCTACATCGGGACTGTAAGCTCTTCGAGGCAGGTGTTGTCATTTTTATTCTGTTTGTTCTGCAATACTTGGCATAGTGAAGAGGCCTTGGGCATCTGGCTGCAAAAATCATATATATAAATTATCATAATAAACCTTTCCCTGATCTTTTTGTCACAGTCCATCTCAGCTTCTCCTATGGGCTAGATGTGTCACAGCTGATTGGTGGAGGATGTTTTTGCTTTAAATATATTACAAAAAAGATGAGTTTGCACACTGCATAAATCTCCACTGTTATAAGTATGCGGGATGAAAGTATCTGTGTGACTGACTTTCTTTTTTCCATCTCTGGATAGGCGTTTTGGAATCCAGAATGAGGTTTGAGTGCTTGGCACCTCTTAGAAATCGGATCATTTGAGTATTAGCATTCAGATGAGCATTCTAATACCTCAGTCCTTTAAGATGCATATTCAGCATGAGCCAGAACGCAGAGCTTGTACAGCTCAGATAATCAGGCCAATCCATTGGTCTGGTAGCATAATGAATTTGCACTTGTTCAACATGAAGATTTTGAATCTCAGGTTCCAAACACATAGGCCTGTTTTGTCTCTGGAAATCCCATAGTGCCATGGCACATGAAGTGACTTTAACAGCAGCTCAAACTGGTTGTCAAAAAGCAACTGCAGCCAGAGATCTCCTGAGGATTTTTCTGCAAAGATGATGCTACAACCTATTATCTGACAGAGCCATTCCAAAGTAATTCCATCAAACACAGTCATGCTGCATCTTTATCAACTCAAATGCCTCTCAGTGCATAGCATATTTGCACACGTGTGCTGTTCTTACTTGCACGCTAGTACTGAGAGCCCATCTCAAGGTTAATGGCTGTGTTGTAATGGTGCCAGAGTGCAGACCATGCAGTACAAAAGCGTGGGTATTTTAAAACTATTTGCCTTGTCGTTTTCAAGCAGGGTATGCATCAGGTCAGCCTTCCCAAAGTGATTTTGAGCTCATGTAGAAAGAAGTGAACAAGCCATGTCGGGTGGTTATTTTCTTGCTACTCTGACAGAGGTTTTAATGGAATACTGTAGCATTTTTGATTGCTAGCAAAATTTCCATGATGCAGTAAAACATTTCAGCAGTATGTATGTATAAAATGTATAATTTTGCATGGTGATGAACATGTCGTGCCATAACAGTGCCTTTCCCCTTCCATCCTCTTTCCAGCTGAGCCATTATCTGGACATTGTGGAAGTCAATATTGCTCATCAGATTTCTCTACGCTCTGAAGCATTTTTTCATGCAATGACCTCTCAGCATGAGTTACAGGACTACCTCAGGAAAACCTCCCAGGCTGTAAAATTACTTAGAGAGAAAATCTCCAAAATTGATAAAGTAATGTGTGAAGGCTCTCTTCGAGTTTTAAGACTGTCGCTCACCAGAAATAATTGTATAAAAGCATACAATAAACTGAAGTTAATGGCTACTGTACACCAAACGCAGCCCACAGTACAGTTGCTACTGTCTACTTCTGAGTTTGTTGGAGCTTTGGACTTGATAGCAACAACGCAGGAGGTGTTGCAGCAGGAACTTCAAGGCATTCACAGTTTCCGGTAGGTAACCATCAAGGACTTGACTAAAATGTGAGCAGAGCTTGAATGTGTTCTGTCTTCTGCTGGCTGAAGGGGGAAGATATACATGTTTCTTTATTCTCATAGGACACAGTATAAAATATGACTATAGCATAAGTAGCATGACTAATGCATGTGCTGGATGCATTTTGTTTTGGTACTGAGTACTAAGATGCTTTATACTCCTTTCTTGTCTCCAGGTGGTTTAGGAGCACAGGGATGAGCACCCAAGCAGGGACTGAACCTTCATTTTGCAGGGTTTGTAGCTCACAGCTGAGAGATGGTTTCCAAGCTGTGATCTGCAGTTCTAATGCCACAGCACCCCAGCTCTTACTGCACAGCTGCATTCCTCATCCCTGTGTTGACTGACAGATCCTGACACGTGCTGGTAGGAATGTTCAAGTATCAGGAGCTGAGTGGGTCCTAACCTTCAGCCTGCCCTTGTGCTGGAAGGAGCTTTGCAAGCAAAAGCCAGTGCAATGCTATCAAACCTCATGGCTCAAAAAGTGGTCGGATGACAACTTGTTAGATAGGATGTGTTCAGCAGCGTCTGCTCTTGGGAAAAGCTGTATTTACAGTGGCCAGAGGGTGCTCCCTCTTGCTTCATCCTGCTGAGAAATCCAGTTCTGTGAGTTGCTAAAGCTGGGATGGGAAGAAGCAGTGAAAAGCTGAGGCTTGAACTTCTGTTGCTATAGCTTTTTCACCTGTGTTTGGATACTTAGAGCTCCACATGGGAGGTAGTGCTGCACTGGGCAGGGTCACCTGTGATGTGCAGGAGTAGCAGTACATCAGAATCCTTTTAGTAGATGCAAAGTTAGCGACCACAACTGCTGTGTATGCTGCAAAAGTGTCACATGCAAAGCAACCACTGTGTTGTTGGCAGGAGTATGTTAAATAGGCTCTAAGACTTGTACTGGCGAGCTGGGGAGCTGTCTGCTTAGCTGAGTTACTGTTTAATTTGGTTTTGAGGTCGCATGGTTCCTGCAATCCAGGGTTCTAGTTTTGTAATAAAAACATGGTTATTGCTCCACAACCGTACCATGGATATTCTGTGCTGACGAGCACCTCCTGTAGCAGTCATTCTGGCTGGTTCAGCAAAAGAACCAAATTTTAAGTAGAAGAGAACTCAGGAAAAATAATCTGGCAAAAAAAAACCAAAACAAAACTATTTTTTTAAAGGCTAATGAATCCAGTTGAGTCATGTTTGTACTTACATTGCTGATACTGAGTCTACTTCTGCTAACTTGTAACCTCAATCAAAATTCGTTTTGTTTTGCAATTGAGTAACCTGAGTTATGTGCAGTGTCAGCAGAGAGTATACTTGGTGCTCCAAGACTGTGCTGTTGTTATGAAATCATAGTCGGGTGTGGAGCATATTTGCAGGCTTGTAAAAAGGGATTTCTGTGAACAGTGCCTACTTGGTTGGTTTGGTAGAAGTTAAAATATATATATATATATATATATATTCAGAAAGTAGCGATGTGAGTTGGAAATGTCCCCTTTGCCTTGGCTGGTAGCTATTCAGAAAGGTAAGTAACTTCACTACTCACCCCCACCAAAGATGCAGTGCTGTATCTAACAGCCTCAGTGTGGTTGCTCCCACGTCTTACAGTGGCCTCTGTGTATTGCACAGCTGGAGAAATAACGTGCAATGAAAAGGTGGATGTCTTTAAACTGAGCCATATTGCTAAAGCAGTTCCCTACGATAGGTTGCACAGGTAGGCATCCAGGTAGGTCTTGAGTATTTCCAGAGGAGACTCCACAATTTCTCTGGGCAGCCTGTTCCAGTGCTCCATCACCCTCATCACGAGCAACTTCTTTCACATGTTTGTACGGAACTTCCTATGTTCAAGTTTTAGGTCATTGCTCCTTGTCCTATCTCTGCACACCAGTGAGAAGGGCCTGGCCTCATCCTTTTGCCTCCCTCCTCCCTTTAGTTATGTGTAATCATTAGTCAGATCCCCTCTCAGTCTTCTTTTCCCCAGGCTGAACAGCCTCAGGTGTCTCAGCCTTTCTTCATACAGGAGATGCTCCAGGCCCTGTATCATCTTTGTGGCCCTCTGCTGCACTCCTTCTGGGTGATCCCTGTCTTTTTTGAGCTGGGGAGCTCAGAAGTGGACACTCAGAAGTGGACACAGTATTCCAGATGTGACATTGGGGCAGAGCAGAGGGAGGGAATCACCTCTCTCGCCCTGCTGACCACATTATACCATTGGCCTTCTTGGCCACAAGGGCGCACTGCTGGCTCATGGCCAGCCTGTTGTCCACAAATTTTAGTCCAGCTGTAACTGTGCAACTCTCATTAAGTGTTTCCATACCTCTGAGGTTATGCCATTGGGTTTTAATGGCATTAATCACAGTTAGACATATAATTTACCAAAGAGCATCTTTGTGCTTACCTAAAAGCCAGCAGTAAAGTAACGTCAGTGAGCAATGCAGCTTCAACCTGCCTCTGTAAAGTCAGGAATTCCCTGCATTGTAACTGGGTTTATCTAAAACACTGCAGCTTCTCTTCATTCTCATTGGAAAAAATGCTTATTTTAAGCAGCCTGGTTTCTACAGATACTTGGTGACTGTAGCTGTCAGTTGAACCTGGAAAGCCATGAGTGTTTGGCACCTCTGAGGTTCCAACTCTGAATTTTACTGCAAATCTCTCTCGCTGCTCAACTTCAACGTTTCTGATGTGAGGAGCTGCCTTGTGGCTTCATATGCAAGCAGTCTGCAAAATGTGGTTTAAAATCTGTAATATATGGGGGGAAAAAATTAATTTAGAGTGATATCAAAGTGGCAAATTTGAAAATTCACCTGTGTTTCTGACAGCCATTCTGTAATGTAAAGCTATCCCTGTATCTCGGCCACATGGAGTAAATCTCCTGTGACCGTATCAGAAGTTTGAATACTTGAAATGGAAGAACCTGATGCACTAGGTACAGACAAACATGGGATATTCTTGGTTCTGCTTCATTTCACTGGGAAGAGAGGGCACTCAGCACCTTCCAAAGAAGTCTGGCTTCCATTTTTATCCTTCCATTAATATTCAGGTCTGTGTGTTTTTACTGCAAGGTGATGTTGCCTCTGAAAAATGCATGGTTACAGCTGCTCTAAGAACCAGAAGACTCACGCCTCCCATTAAGCTAGCATTGATGATTGCATGGAAATTACCTGCTGCGTGGTTATTTTCTTCAACTGTGAACTAATGATTCATTTTCAGGTTGATTATTTAGCTTACATCTCAATGGCTGTTTTCCTTAGGCACCTTGGCTCACAGCTCTGCGAACTGGAAAAGCTGATAGATAAAATGATGATTGCAGAGTTTTCAACGTACGCTCGCAATGATTTAAATAGACCCCTAGAAGATGATTGCCAAATTCTAGAAGAGGTATGTCTCTTATTGAAATAAACCGTCTGATGAGTATGTCTGCATCTGCAACATCCTTAATTAGCACCGACTAATTGATTCAGTAGCAACATTGCGATTTCATGTAATTTCTCATCTAAATTCCCCCCACACCTTTCTGTACTCGGTCTAATTAAATAATTGTAACTAACCATATGGAAACATGATCCAGTACTACTTTATTTTTTAAATATGATTGCTTCTGTTTTAAATGTATATTAAGTTTTTGGGCACTTGGTGAACTTCAACACACAGGTGGAAAAGAATGTGGACCCTTATAGCTGCTTGGCCTTAAAAATTCACTTTTTTGTGGTGAGGGTTGTGTGTGCTGTTTTTCTGTCTTCCTGTGCACTCTTGGGTGCTTATATCAAGCATATGACTGCCCCGAATGCATGCTTCATTTGAAGGGTGTATTCCTTTGAAGGTCTTGAAAATGGAGCTGTTGTAGTGGTTTTGGAGTGCTTGCACTGTTCTGCAGTAATTGCTAGCTCCCGTGAACTGTTTAGTCCTGTATAACGGGTGGGTTTTGTGACATGTGGTGCATGGCAGTCGTGTTGAAATACTCCCATTTCTGCCCTACCATTTCTTCCCACCTCCATGCAGCAGTGTGTCACGTCTCACTTGTGCTGGTGCAGTTGTCTGCAGTGCCATTCTTGCTCTGGGCAAGGAAATGTTAAGCTTAGGAAATCCAATTGTGCTTACAAACATTTGTATGAGCAGAAAAGGAATGAAAGAGGCTGGGAGGAACTCCTTTAGCTGTTATTACCACAGGAAGCTTAGAACTGTTCAGTCATGGCGTTAGTCTCGAGGCACTGGACTGAGGTAAATTCTGTCCTCCGTGTGTTTGATTCATGAACTCTATCTAATTACTGCACAGTTTCTTGTTCTCCCCTTGATATTTTTAGTGTATTTCTTTTTTTTGACAGGAGAGACTTGTATCACTAGTATTTGGACTTTTAAAGCAAAGGAAGCTAAATTTTTATGAAATATATGGAGATGAAATGATTATTACTGCAAAGAATATAATAAAACAGGTAAGCCCATAGTTTTTGACTTATCTGACAAGGTTGCTTCGACCTCTTAAAAATGTTTGTGTGTTGAAGTGGGTAAGGACTGCTCTGAAGTTTTTTGCTGGCTGATGGTCTCACGTTTAGGGAGCCTGCAGGCACTAAGGGCTTCCTGAAGCACACAGGTCAGTTTGCAGAGAAGACTTTTTGCAGGAAGTAGGCAGCCCAAGAATGGCAGGAGATCACAGCTTTCTCTGTATGATTACCACTGTTCTGAATTCATTGACTTCAGCTTTATTTGTTTTACCTTTTAGCACACAGCTTTCCCAAATGCTACAGTTTGTCATAAGCCCCACAAATAAGGGCCTGCCCCTTCTGTGCACAGCTGTTCTGGGCCTAAAAGCACAATGTGCATGAATGAGTAAGACCAGGATAAAGCTGTGTTATCTGTGCATCAGTCTCCATTGTTTTTTCACTTACCTATATCAAAAGTCACAAGGAGACTTTTTTTCCCTTGAGTTCTGCTTAGTCAGGTAACAGACAAGTAACACTGTTTTCTAGCTTGCTTACAGTCATAAAGTATTTTTCCCAGTCTTCTAGAAATATTTGTCCTTTATGTTGTGATTTCTCAGGTGACACCTTTGCTCAATAATAGACCCAAGTTTAATCAATTTCAGCATAGAATCATAGAATGGCCCGGGTTGAAAAGGACCACAACGATCATCTGGTTTCAACCCCCTGCTGTGTGCAGGGTCGCCAACCAGCAGACCAGGCTGCCCAGAGCCACATCCAGCCTGGCCTTGAATGCCTCCAGGGATGGGGCATCCACAGCCTCCTTGGGCAGCCTGTTCCGTTGCATCACCACCCTCTGTGTGAAAAACTTCCTCTTAATATCTAACCTGAACCTCCTCTGTCTCAGTTTAAAACCATTCCCCCTTGTCCCATCACTGTCAGCCCATGTAAATAGTCGTTCCCTCTCTTGTTTAAATGCTCCCTTCAAGTACTGGAAGGGATTTCCAATTTCCAGTGTAACTTCCTGTTAAATAAGAAAAGTGGACAGGATCAGAGTCCTGTTGTCACAGAATGATAGGTGTTGGGAGGGGAACCTCTGGAGATCATCTAGTCTGAACTTACAAAGATATTTTTCCATAACAGAAGAAGCCGTTTCCCTCCTGTGTCCCAAATGCATTTGCTGTTAAAGCGCATTGCTGGCCTGTTTTGGTCAGTACTTCAGTAGCTCCTTGTTGCCAGACAGATGGAAGAGCAGAGGTTTGTAAGCACTGAGCACACTGCTTAGTTCAAGAGCAAAGTGTGTTTGTAAGAAGCTTCTGTACTGAGCACCATTATTCAAAATGCAAGTAAAATCCATGTAGCTTGAGATGGCTGCCAGCACTCAGTCACCACTCGGGCTGTGTTCACTTGAAGGAGGATGAGTCCATGGCTGCTGACTCCTTTCATCAGGTTATTGACTGATGCCTGGAGGAAAAACCCTGCTGCACTCTAAATGGAGTCAGTCTATACCATGAGCACAACAGAGAGTAGTGCAAAATGAGATGGGTAAACAAATCACTGTAAGACAAAAGATGCATTTGGAGCAAAAATCCATTATTCTGGAGACCTGAAGAAGCTGGCCAGTTCCATATGCACTGGCTGACAGTGGTATCTCAGAGTCCTTTGAGGAAAGGCTGCAGTGTAGAAGTAAGCATGAAGAAATCTAGGAATAGAGACCCCTGGTATTTTGCAGCCAGCTGTCTTGGGGGGGGGGGTGTTTGTTTGGTTTGGCTTTATTCCTTAGAGAAAAAAAAGTTATCAAATGATACAAATATGCCTTTGCTTTGTTTTTCTTTTTCCTTATTTAATATGAGGATTACTGTGCATGCTATGAAACACAGCAGCAGTTAGAAAGAAGCTAAGATCTTTTTTTGTTGTTGTTTTTCCCCTTTAAATTTGACAGTGTGTGGTTAATACGGTATCGCAGATAGAAGAAATAGATACAGAAGTGGTTGTTAAGTAAGTATACAGCTAGTTATGTTGTTTTTCTTAAATGGTGGGTGGGGGATAGGAGATGGATGCTTTTAGCACACATAAATTACCCATTCTAATTTTGTATCAATTTCCATATAATCAAGGATTCTCTTTTGTTTCACCTTAAGCCTCTGCTCCTGTCCACCTCTTTGAAAAACTGCATGTGTTCCTCTTCTCATTCAGTCTCTAATGTTAGAAATCATTCCTTTAAATTTAACTTGCTTTTGAAATAAGCATTGAAATTCTCTCTGAATCTCCTTGCATGCAGCCTGAACGACTGTGCCTAGGCATACAATTCTTAACTGTGTGAAGGTGTTCCCTGTTTGTGTTAAAATGTGTTGGTAGTTTCAGTACATTGCATGTGAATGAGAACAGAGCTACCTGGGCAGAGATCAGACAGTGCCAGCAGGTAAGAAATGGCCGGCAGGAGGAACCTCACAAAGCCCAGCGGAGGCAAACGCCGTGTCCTGCAGCCAGGAGGGGGCAGCCCCTCACAAGATGAGAGGCAGAGGCCAGCTGACTTGGGGCAGCTTTGTATGGCAGGACCTGGGGCTTCTGGTAGGTGAAAGATCAGCCGTGGACATGGAGTGTCCTTGTAGCTGCAGCTTGGGCTGTATTAGCATAGCTAGCAAGTTGAGGAAAATAATCCTTGTCCTCTGTTTTGAGGCTGCATCTTGTTCTCGTGCTCAGCTTCGGACTCCCCAGTGCAAGAAAGGCATTGAGATTTAATGGCTGAAAGAGCTGGGCAATCCTGGGGAGTGGTAAGCTGAGGGGTGAGGTGCCTGCAGCTGCACCATGGGAGAGATAGGGCAAAGGTGGAGACAGAGCCAGGCTCTTTGTGGAGGTGTGCAGAAGGGTGAGGGGCAGCAGGCACAAGAGAAAGCAGAGGTTGGACATGGGATCTTCAGAGGTCCCAGCTCTAGAGAGTCCCACCAGCCTGCAGCTCCATGACCCATTTGGATCAGCAAAGGGCTACCCTGAGATAACAAAGCCAGAGCAGTTGCAAATGCAAAGTGAGCAGCAAAATTTGCATGGTGTTCGTGCTGAGACTGAGAGACTGGGCACAGCATCACTTTTAAGCGTTGAAGATTTATTTGTTCACTATTTTCAGTGTTTACCATTCTGCAATTGGATCCTAACTCTTTGTTACACAGTTTAGCTTATGTTCAGTGAATGAATTTTCTGCCCTCTGCTACAAACAGCTGACTTTAATAAAAGTGATCTCATTGCAGTGCAGCAAAATGAACTTAATAACACAGCTGTTGCAATACTTGCAAAGTATTTTTGTTTTTTCTTGTTGTCTCATTTTTGTAAAAATGTTATTAACTCCCCATCTTCCCCTTTATGGTAACATAACTTATTTCTGGGAAAAGAGCATTATGCCCTAGAAAAGCTTAAGTGAGGCTTTTGTTTTTCTAGCATGATCTATCTTTCTATGCCTCCTTCTCCATTCCACTTGCATACACTGTGTTTAGTCAGGACAGTTTTTCAGGCGATGTCTGCACAGTTTTCCTTACAATTACAGTTCCCATTTAGAGCTTGCTTTTGTTTTTGATATGCCAGTCGTCAGCATGATTAATAAATACTTGCAGTTTACCAAATACTGCTCTTTTTTTTTTAGGCTTGCAGACCAGATAAGAATGATGAATTTTCCTCAGTGGTTTGATTTATTGAAGGATATTTTTTCTAAGTTTACTATCTTCCTCAAGAGAATAAAGGTAAGGCTTTAATTTGCCAAGATTTTCATGTAGCTGGTTCAGACACGAGACAGAATGAAGTTACTTTCCATTTGAAGTTTTTAGGTGTTCTTTTTGATTATAGAATTCAAACTTGATTGAAAGAGGGATATGTGAATATCACCATCCAGGCTAAAAATGATTAGTGCTAACAAAGAGAGCACTGGGAAGGAGATAATACCTCTTGTAGCCTGATTACATCCATTTCGGGCTGCTGGGGATTAGGACAGGACTTTTGTATGTGTTAGATTGCTCCAAATGAGGTTTCTTTCACTGTTCTCAGAAACATCTGATATAGGTTACCATCAAAGACGATGGGTCTGCCTTTGAATGCTAATTGCACAGTAGAAAATAAAGCCAGGATTTAGTCAGATTTCTGTGGGTAAGAGAAAATCTTCTCCCAGTGCAGGCGTATGGTACAGGGTTTTGGGTCTTTTTTTGTAATAAAAGTTATATTTGATTCTAGGCAACGTTAAATACTATCCGTAGCGTGGTTCTCTTGGTTCTAGACAAGAACCAAAGAACCAGAGACCTGGAGGACACCTTGCAAAAGAACTCTGTGAAAGACAGTCCCTTGGACACAGAAGTGGCTTACCTGACACACGAAGGCATGTTTATAAGCGACGCCTTCGGCGAGGGGGACCTCCCACTTGTAGCAGCTGACACTACCTCTCAGAGAAACACTTCTCCCAACAGCGAGCCCTGTAGCAGTGATTCAGTCTCTGAACCAGAGTGCACTACAGACTCTTCGTCCAGCAAGGAGCCAACGTCGTCTGTTACTCCGGGAGTGGAGATGATGTGAGTACATGCAGTACCTGCCTCAGCTGTCAGGAGCAGGGTGTTGGGAGCTGGGGGTTGTGTGTACAAAAGTTAGGTTGGAAGAGTGTGCTTTTCTAGGTAAATGAAGTGGCTCTCCACCACCGTCATCCCTACAGACTGCCACAGTAACAACTCAAATTTGTTTGGTTAGCTTTGTTTTTACCTCTCTACATATGGTGTATATATATATACATGTATATATACACCCTTCTCCTGTCAGCTCTGCTAAGGAGCCTGCTTCTAGAGAGCAGGGGAGATGGAAGTCTACCCTAATGAAAGAAGACTAATTGCTTGTCTTGGCCTCAGTTGACTGAGGCATCTCAGTTCCCTGCACACGTTTACTGTGGCTACTTTTTCTATTCTCTTTTAAAGATGATTTCATGGCATACATCTTGATGAATTCTAGAGAAAATCAGCTGCTCGTGGTCAACTTGTACTCCTCAAGGCTTCGGTAACATAGGCAGTGCTGCCCCGTGGTGTGCTTGACTGCACAGCTGTAATATTCTCGACAAAGTTCTGGGCATTTCTTATTTATGGCTGTCATCAGCTACCTTTTTGAAAGAATGTGTGGGATTCAGCTGTGAGCCACTTCAAAACCCAGCATGTCTAGATATAGTTTTATGAAGCAGAGTTGAAATACCACCTCTTCTGTCATTCAGCAGGGTGAGGCAGCAAGCTGCCTGCTCGCTCCTGCTGGTTGGTACTCAAGCGTCTATCCCTGTGTTCACTTTTGTTGGGGACCTTCCTCCTCCAAATCACAAGGAATTTGAATTAAATCTGTTGCAACTGAAGTGGATTCAGGCTGTTGCATGTCCCAACACTCATCCTATGTTGGGAGGAAAACGCAATGTGGAGATGAGTTCATGGGGTTAGAGTGAGGAGAGAGGAAGGAGGAGGGAGCAGGATCCCAGCCAGTCTGGAGAGGTTAGCTAAAAATAAACCACACAGATGGAGTTCTCAAGCAACAAAAGCATTCCAAAGGCTGATTGTGAAATTTTGTTCAGAAATGGACTTGCTTCACCCCTTCTTTGTTTTCCTTTGTACCTCTGCTCCACGTTTGGAGAAGGGTAATTCATTATACAATCAGGGTACTGCTAGCCCAGTTGATGTGCTGTTGTGTCCCAGGTTTTCTCCCTCATCTCATGCTGTCAGTGCTAGCAGCCAGGCGAGACCAGAAGATTGTTATCGTAGCTGGTTAGGTGAAGGGCAGAGCTGTGCTTATGTGCTTGTTTCACAGGACAAGCCACAGAGTTATTTTTAAAAGGAAAGGCTTAGGAGACTGAAGGGTAAGACTGTAGCAGAATGATGGCTGATAAACTACAGTCATGAGAGCACAGAGCATTTATGGTAGATCTTACACCTGCTTTGGTACTAAAATACTGTGTTTATCCATTATACGTTTGTGATGCTCAAATGGGAGCTAGGTGATGTTTATGTCAATAGACATCGGTATTTATTGTATTAGCAATGGTTGTGTGATTTCTTCTTTAAGTAACAGTAATTAGGACATTGAAATATAAGGACAGTTTCATATTTGCTTGCCACAGGGACTGACGTGGCATTGACAGCAGTTTAGATGGTCCCATCTGTACAGAGTGGCTTTGGTGATTAACTGACTACGTCTGACAGCTGCTGCAAAGCTCTTTCTTCCTTGGAATTGTGAGCAGAAACACCGTTTTCTATGAATTGATGCTCAAGCAAATGGTTCTGTCATTTGTAGGATCAGCGATGACATGAAGTTGACTGAACTGGAACTGGGCAGGCTGGCAAATAACATTCAAGAGTTGTTGTATAATGCTTCTGATATCTGCCATGATCGTTCAGTTAAGTTCCTCATGGCAAGAGCAAAGGTAAGGAGCTTGGATCAGGCTGCTGGTGGAGTCTCATCCTCTGTGAGATGTTACTACAAGTTACTGGCTTAATAAGTAAGACTCCTGAGATCGCTTTCTCAATTGGTATTAAGTAATTGTTTCCACGGTCAGTCACGTAATGTTAATTACTGCCCAGAGCCCAAGCTTTAATGTATCACATTGTTGTAAAGTAACGTGAGTTTCGGTACTTTTCTTTTTCTTTTTAATATTCTGACTTGTTGCCTTTGAAGTTCCATGAAGAGAATGCATAATCTATGACAAGACAGCTGTTTATACTGCAGTCTCCTACTCTGTCCCATGTAGGATAAAAGAACGTGCCTTTAAAATACTGCTAGCCCTCAGATGTGCTGACTAGTTGATTCTTGTCTTCTCTGAATTTTTGTGGTTTTATGTCTCCTTACAGTGGGTTTCTTTGCATACAGGGTGGCTTCCTAGAGAAGCTGAATTCCAATGAGTTTGTCGCTCTTTCTCGCTTGATGGAAGGCTTTATCTTAGATACTGAGCAGATCTGTGGCAGAAAAAGTATGTCCTTGCGAGGAGCACTTCAAAGTCAAGCCAATAAATTTGTGAATAGGTTCCATGAGGAGAGGAAGACAAAGCTAAGGTATCTCTGTGTAGAAGACCTTCATGTTCTTACATGCATAATTTCAATTCTACACCAGGAAAACACAAATCTTTCATATGAAAACACAAATTTTCATTGCCTGGATCACTCAGAACTTTGTACTTAGGAGGGGCAGGCTGAACAGCCATTTTGAAACACAATTCTTTTCAATTGTTTTAGGCTTTTACAATGTTCAGTACAGTTTCTTTAAACCGGATTGTTCAATGGTGAAGTAAATAAGAACAGCTTATAGCTACAGGAAGAACTCGAAAGTGATGTTGGAAGATGGGGTCTCTATCTCAGGAGTTAGTTGGGAAGGGAAGAACCTCCAAGAAAAAACAAAGAAAAAAAACAACCCCCACACCACAAAAATCCAACCCATACTGGGAAACAGTCTTCCCAGTAACACATACAAAGTCCTTTTGTTCTCATTCATCAAAAGCATCCAAAGTTCCAGTATTTCCATGTTGTTTTGACATTGTTTCAGTGGCATTGATCTTATAAGGACTTCTATTCCTTGCTGGGATCGTCTGCACTCTGTGATAGTTTGAATGAACAGGCTGTAAGATCTCTAGGCCAAAAGGGTGGTTTTCTGGTTTGCTACTACTAAGCATTGGGCACCTCTTTCTAATAAGGATTGATGATGTAACATTTTGGGCCACTGGCTCTTTTTATATTACTGTAGGTTTGATTGAGCAGCACTACAGGCAAGGGAGGTGTCCAGTCAAGGTATTTTGTATTCTCATCCTCCTTTCTTTTGTCTTTGTCCTTTCTTTTTGTCTTTTTTTTTTAAGCCTGCTCTTGGACAACGAGCGCTGGAAGCAAGCTGAAGTTCCTGCCGAGTTTCAGGATCTTGTTGATTCTGTGTCAGATGGCAGAATTTCTCTCCCTGAAAAAAAACCAACAGGTATTTTGCAGTTCTACCATTAGCAGAATCTAAACTTGTGAGCTGCAGATGGTGCTGCTGAATGTTGATGGACGTATTCTGCTCTGTGCTTGTTTCTGTATCACAACTGGGGGGACATCAGAAGGAAGGAAACTGACACTTTTTTGTGTGTTAGCGGTGTCGAAACTTGGGCTGACTTTAAAAGTTTATTTTTCCATTTGAATACCCACTTAAGTGTTAGCACAGGAAGGGAGCTATGTTCCCAGTAGTATTCCCAGTGTAAAGGCTTGCAGTCCGTGCATAAATTGACTCTTTCACTGAAGTGCTGCGAGAGAACAAGGAGCATGTGCATGTGTTCAGCTCCCTTTGTGTTACGAAGTGCTTTGCACCTTTCCACTGCTTCCTCTGCCAGTTGTTCAAGTGAAAGACAGCCTTCTGGATGGCTGCTCGTGGAAGTGGAAACTTATGTACGTTCAATTATTTACCTTGTCACAGAAACCTTGTTTGACCTCAGACAAATCACTTTTTTCTCCTCGTGCTTTGTTTCCCCAGTGCAGTGTGGGAATGCATAATGTATTCCTACCTGGTGGGGATTCTCATCTGCTATTGCAGCGATAAATGTCTGTGAACAGTTGGAAAGGGGAGAAAGCATACCCAGAGGGGAAGGAAGATGGCAGAGTGAGAATACAGTGATGGCATGGGGCAGAAGCCCTGTCTGCCCCTCAGAAGGAGTGCAGAAGGGATGGAAGGCACTAGGCAATACACAAATCATGGAACATTACTCCAGTGCTTGGCAGCCATTCCTCCTAAAGAAGTTCTTGCAGCTTTCTTCAAGAAGATAGGAAACTGAGAGCATCAAATTTAGCATGAAACGCTGCATCAGTAAGAGCTTCTGCTGTGAAGCCTGAGGGAAAAAGTGGTTTGAAGCTAAAATATTAATATACATAGCAAATCACTGGAGAATCTACAGTAGAAAACCTCGTAGCTTTTTCTGCTTTTTTTTCATGTGTTTCTAACATGTTGTATTTGAAGTTTCTAAATCTGTAATGACTTTGGAGGATTTCTGATGTAAAATCCCATCTGTATTCCAATAGATATGACCAGTGAGGTTGCTTATTAATTGTAATGAGTGACACAGTTTTTAACATGGATCAGTATTCCAAAGATTGATTCCCTGGTTTCAAACTTGAGCAAGGGAATGCCTGATTTCTAGAAACTAGCATTTTTTTGTACTAGTTCTTAGGTCAACTCATCCTTTTCCTTTATTGCTAAAATCTTTAGGTGCTGAAGAAAGGAAGCCAACTGAATTCCTTATTGTTGAAGGACAAAAATATGCAACGGTTGGGTAAGAGGCACTTTTCCCTTACCAGTGGATTAGTTGGCAAGTGTTTTGGGGTAGAACTGTGATGAATACTAATAGCTCTAGCAACCTTATTTAAATAGAAAGAAAACCTTTCCTTACACAGATTAGTTTCCTTTTAGTTCCTGAACAGTTTTAAAGCATCACAAGCTCTTCTGTATTATTAAAACACCGTTTTTTCTCTGAAAGACTGGACTGAAATTTACGGTTTTATTTGATTTTTTTGCAATTTTCTCATGAAAATACTTGTTCATGAAAATATAGATTTACTGTTATAGCATGATGTTTTTATTTCTCACAATATAGGTTGTCTCTAGCAAAATACACAAGTCCTGTACAGATTGATTCCTTATTTTACTCAGAATAAAAAATAGAAGATAAGGCTTTCTCAGAAGGTGCAATCCATATTTCTTTGTAGCCTGATTGCTTTGGTTTGAAAGTACTTTCTTGCAGCTAGCTGGCTATATCAGTGATATTTTAAAATATGTGGCACTCCCATATTTCTTTCATTCAGAAGCATTCTGTGTTTCCAAAGACAGAGAGGCTTAAGTGTTAAATATGCCTGGGAGCGTTTGGTTTTTTCAGAAGGGAGTAAAACCTGGAAGATCTCACTTTCCAGAGTCCTGACATAATTTACCCCAAACTTCAATGGAAAAGTACTGATCTACATAAAGTCTTGGACCAGCTCTCGTTTCGTGAGTTGCTTTGTGATGATGTGCCATTGTTCAATGAGAAACAGAAGCTGGTGGCTCAGAACTTCAGTGCCAGCCTGCTGGCGAAAGAGAATTTCGGGTCAAGTAGGAAGGAGTGTTTGAACGTGCTTCAAAGGATGAAGTTGCTCACTAGGCTGTGTATTTGATAGTTAATCTCTGCTAATTTGAAGCTTTATTTTTAGCTCTGTGAGCTAATTCCCATTGGTGCAACATGCTGTTCTGCACACTGTTACGTACAATTTCATTGTATTTAATCAAATGCATTCACCAGAAAAAGCCTAGATGTTCCCCCAGGATTCTCCAGATGTTTATTTGCAGCGATTGATCTCTTTTTGGCTCCTCAGTACCCACTGCATCCTTTTCAGTGGTTATTGTTTTCTATAGGCTATGCTTTTTTTGTGCTTGCTCAAAGTTGGCCAGTTAAACAATATTATAAGAGAGGAGCTTTAGATTTTCCCCAGATGACATCTGCATGGAGACTTCTAGTTCCACAGTAATTATTTCTGGAGATGAAAAAGTTATGCCTAATGAACACCAGAAGCTTTCTTACCTGTGTGTTAAGTACTTTTTCTACACAGTTCCCCCTGAAACAGGTATTCTTTATATATCTTTTTTTGTTCCATCTGTACCTCAGATCAGTTACGGGGCACATTCAACACTATCATTTCCAGCATTAGGTGGCTTTCTGTCAGTCTGACTGGCCTGTTTGTTGTTTTTTGACTTCATCTGTGCACAGAGATAACGTATTTGGCTGTTTCCTCTCTTGTAGGACAGTATTGCTGTTAATAAGAATAATCCTGGAGTACTGCCAGTGCGTGGATAACATTCCTTCCATCACCACCGACATGCTCACCCGCCTGTCTGATTTACTGAAGGTATGAGTCCAAATGTGCTGTCTGTGCCAGATAAGAGTATTCAGGGCAGTGAACATGTCTTATTCTAACGTTTCACGTGCTTTTACAACTTGGTGAAAAGGATGGAAATGATCTAGAAACGATTGCATTTGTTACTGTGCCATGAGGTAGGCCTTTAAGGTAAGCTATTGACTGTGCAATCTGCTGTGTCCAGAAGGCTGTTGTTCTTCTCGTTCACCAGGGATGGTCTGAGATCCCATCTTCTAGTGTTTGCAATGGCTGCAAGTATATTTTACATAAAACGGGCTGAAAGAGATGTAAATATACCTGGGGAGATGGGCCTTTAAATAGTATCCTTCTGTTGGTGGTCTTTATCTGAATAAGCAGACACAGAAATGCTTCCTGTAGTCATCATTTGTGTTCATCCACAAACCTTCCCTCTTAAATGCCATTCAAGTGGAATCCAGTCAGTCTGGGACTGGGAATGTTCCTCTTTTTACTAAATCTGCTGCTTCTCACAGGACTTGCAGCACCTTTGTGCAGGCAGGCAGAACAGCAGCAACTGCCTCAGGCTTAAGCACATTTGCATCTGTGTTACTTCTTTCTCCCTTCCATTTCTTGTTATTGCTCAAGATAAACGATTCATGTTTTGTTGCTTGGTACCCAAACATCACTGCAGTTTAGTTGTAATTCCTAACTCTGTGACAATGAGATGACCATCAGAGAGGTGACAAAGACAGCTAGCAAAAACAAAAGCACATTTCTTTATGCTTTGGACAAAATAAGGGCCACTCAAAGGTGTCCTTGCAGGTCACTACTGTTTATTTGACAACTGTCAAAGCTAGCAGGCTTTGAAGGTAGCAAGAGTACTCAGTGATTGCAAACTGTGAAGTGGTTGCTGGATGATTAAACTTGGCTGTGGCTGTAACCAGAGTGAAGTGACACTGTGAGTGAACAGAAACACAGCCATCATCACTGGAGTTAAGCTGGCACAGACGAGAAGGTTTGCAGCCACAGTGCCAGAATGGAGAAATACTTTCCTCCGAACAGTCACAAGGAGGAGGTGTTGCTCTAACCTAAGCTAAATACCTCAGAGGGCTGAGGCTGTGTAGGATGTCTGTCTTTAGCTCAGTGGATATACTTCCAAAGTCCACCAGGAGGCACAAGAAAAGGTCCTGCTTTTCAAGATGAAAAGAGGAAATGAATGTCAAACAGCTTCACATCCTGACCACTACCAGCGAGCAGAGTAGGTGATGCCACTGTCAGATCAGGAACCACGTGTGGCTCTGGTTCTGTTGTTAGCACTAGGTCTGGGTTGCTCTTCTGGCCCTGCTCCATTCACACTACATCCTCTGTAGTCCTGAGTTCTGTCACTAACTTCAGGCAGTAGACAGAAAAATTCTTTCTTATTTTTACACAGGGAAGGTTGACATTTTGGGTTTTGTTCTCGTGTTATTGTGAATAAGGAGCTGTGAAGCAGAGTTGTGATAACTCCCACCCCCAACCCCCCCCCCAAAAAAAAAAAATAGGAACTTAAATAAAAATTTCCTTCCTCTGTGAAGGAAATGCACTGTATTGCACAGAGAAGCTGCAGGAGGGCGGCCTTGCCACAAGTACTTGTGAATCTATCATCAGGTACAGGAAAAAGGGTCAGCTCTTGGTGGGTTTAGCCTCCTGACTTCCAGTCCCATGCCAGAGTAGCTGTGTTCAAATGTGAGCCCTGGAATTCCTGCTGTCCCTCTGGAGCAGGGATCAGGGACAACAGGAATGGTTTTTCCATCTCTACTGCATCATGCAACCTGGTCTGGGGTGGCTTGGGTCTTGAGCTGGGCCAAGAAACAGAATTCCTAAGACAGAATATGCTAAGAGGAGCTCTCTTACTGTCCCAGAGAGCCTGTTGGCCTGTGTCCATTTAACAACATTTCTCTCTTGGAGCTACATTAGGAAGATCAAGTAACAAGTCTTCTAATATACCTGAAGTTGCTCTACCCCCGCTTTTTGACATGACTGAACATTTTCTGTGTGGCATTTCTTAGATTTCCAAGTTCTGTGGTGTAAGTAATGCAAATTCACCCACCTCAGCAGCAGTGATTGATGCTTTCAAGTTTTTCTGTATGGTAAGCAGTGTGAAAGGTGTGGAGCCAGAAACTCATTCTGATGTATTACATTTTTACTTTGTCCTTTCTACTGTAGCTCTTAAGATATTTTTTTTTAATGTAACAATATATTTTTAGTAACAGTATTTCTCCTTTTGATGAAGGGAGCATACATCTGCATACACAGCCAGCATATCTTTTTGTTGTCTTTTCTTTTTTATGTCTCATAGTATTTCAACTCTCGAAGCTGCCAGCTGGTGCTTGGAGCCGGTGCATTACAAGTTGTTGGATTGAAAACAATCACTACAAAAAATTTAGGTATGTGTTTCCGTATTTAAGGCATCAGTTGTTATACTCCTGCCTATTTTAAGAAGTGTTCAGTGGATTTTTTTTGTTGAAGTTAAGGATGAGCTACGTTTGTGTTGTGGTACTTGGTGTGGAACGCAAGGTGATAAAACCTTGCATATTTGAGGGTAAAACATGTACAAAAGCTAACTGCCTTTGCAAGAGGTGCATGAAAATCCATCCAGTCTACCAGAATGCTTTGACTATAAAGCTCCACTGTGTTAGGTGAGAGAAACCAACAGGCTGGCAGGTTTGCCATGAAAATGTTCTGACTGTGGGAAACTGTGGGAAGTTACTCTTCCATTGGTGACTTTGGCATGTGTGTGTGCTGTGCAGAGCTTGGGTCTGCAGATGGGCGGTGTAGGCAGAGGGCTCAGCCAGACACCAGCCTCCCCCTGTGTTTTGCTGAGCTGTGCCATCCTGTCTGCCCTGTGGTGCTGCTTTGGAACAGTCTGTCCACAGACAGCTCCTGTGGCTCCTGTGGCTTGTAACCACACGTAGGTAAAACACAACATGATGTCTGTGGGTGGCTGTGAACCAAATAGTAAGTCTTTATGTGGTTGAGTGTCTCCATGCAGCCAGGTAATTTAGGGCTTTGTGTGCTGGATCCAAACTCAGATTTGAGCTTTAGATTGTGCAGTTATTCAGCTGAATTGACAGCCCAAAGTTACCTGCCTGGGCTGCTCCAGCTGCTGCAGAAGCAAGGGAGAGCTAAATGCACAGCTTCATGCTGCAGGAAAGCCTGGTTGTACTCAAGGAACCCCCCCTCCAAGTTTTAAACTGTTTCCTGAAATGAAGAGCCTTTAGCAATGGGTTGAGGCAAGAGCCTGTTCCTGTATTTTGGGGTGCAATGATTACCAGCTAAGAGGTCAGCTTGAGGAGGGTGGATCCAGAGGCTCCCCTGGGGGGTCGCTGGCCATAGTTGTTGGAACAGGCACAATGAGCAGAGAGAAGCTGGGTCCAGCTTTTGGCTCCAGGCTTGGCCAGCACAGTGACCACACTGGCACCACCATGTCCTGCTGCTGGCTCTGACCCTGTGTGCTCAGGAGTAGCTCGGTGCTGGGAACCCTGAGGGCATTCAGGCAGGAGCTGGTTGCAGGCAGCTCGGTGCTGGCAGGGCAGTGTTTGTGTACATCATATGGGGGTGAAACATCGGTGCCTTGGGAATGTGGCTGCTGAGGTTAGGTGGCTGCTGAGTCAGGTCTTCTGAGATCTCTCTGGTGTGTGTGTGTGTGCTCAGGGCTCCAAATACCAAGTAGGCACTGAAGGCCTCTTGTAAAACTGGTCCCTTATTCTGTATGTTACCGCAGCTGGGTGTGAATAGGCAGGTGCTTGTGTGGCCTCTTCACTGGGTGGGCTCCTCCAATGGAAATAAATGCTTACCCCCTTCCTTGTATTGTTTTAAAGCACACTAAATTGTGTTTAGGTCTATCTTATTCATGTTAAAGGAGATGCAATCCATACAGAAAGACTCTTCTTGTGTACTAATTGCTTTTCCTCTCTCAATTCTGGATTTACAGCCCTTTCTTCACGTTGCCTACAGCTAATCGTACACTACATTCCTATTATCAGGGCTCATTTTGAAGCTCGGCTGCAGCCAAAGCAGTTTAGCATGCTCAGGCACTTTGACCACATTACAAAGGTAACTCTTTTGACATTTCCCAATTAAGCAGGAAGTTCTGCTTCTTAGTTGTGCTCTGAAAAATATGAATGTCATTAGATAATAAATAAAACCTACTTTCTCTCATTACAGGATTATCACGACCACATAGCTGAAATCTCAGCAAAGCTCGTTGCCATCATGGATAGCTTATTTGACAAACTGTTATCCAAGGTAATGACTTACAGAAATAATTAGACACTCTAAATTGCTGTTGGAGGCCTCACTGTAGCGCCTGGTTGTTGCAAATGAATCTTAAACTTTCTTCATCAGTTGCTGTTAGAATTCTTCTATATGCACAAAGCTGTGTTGCATCGTGCATTTCTGTCTCAGCACTTGTCACATGGGTGTCGTTCAGCTTCCTCCTCCCTTCCCCCAGATGGTTCCTTTACTTCTGTACCAGATGTGATCAGGCTGGTGCAGATGCTCTGCCTTTGCCATGCAGGAACTGAAGTGCCCTGCTTCTCTGGGCAGTGCTACCCACCAATGGCTTGTCTGCGGCCAGGCTGCTGCCCCCTGCCTCTCCCCAAAAAAGCTGGTTCCCCTTCCCCGCTCTTCCTGATGGTACCTCATTTCCTGCAGCTGAGGAAACAGAACAATCTACTGAGGGGGGAGAGTTTTTTTGTGAAGAAGGATCAAACCATTGCTAGGGCTGCAAGCCTGGGCACTGCAAGTCTGCACTTAGAGGGTCCTGCTGTGCAGCAGAGCTGATAGCTGTGCCATTAAATGCTCTTAGTGTTTCACGAGTGTCTGTCAGCTGAACTGATCTGTCCTGAGCAGGATCCAGTTCCTGGCTCACTTAGAAGCAGAGAACACTGCACTCCTTGGGGCTGTGGAAGAGAATGCCCTTAGGTGGGGTCTGCTGGGCCTGCTAATTTGGTGGAGAAACTATGGAGAAACTCTTAAAGCTTAGTGGTTTCCTATGGGTCTTATGCTCCTGTTGGGCTTACGCGTGTAAAAAGATGTTTATGCCCTTTTCTAAGTATGCAAACAGTGCTCTGTTCCCTGTACAAAATAGCAGTTCTATGTAGAAACGTGGCTTTTTGATCACTTTTTGTCATCTTCCTCTTGAAAGTGAAAGATAAATGGAAGAACTTTGGTTACCATTACTAACCAAGTTAGCCCACAGCACGTCAGTAACACTATTTTGGTTTTTGATGGTAATTATTAAGTATCCATCTCCTGCTGTCCTTCCATCTTTCCAGCCTGTTCACATCTTGTGAGCTGGCAGGATATAAGAACTGTGAATATTCCTGTATTTTAAAGGTCTGAAAGGCTTGGGTGAGAGTGCCTGGCTCGTGTGAATGCTTCCCACAGAGGACAGAAGAGGAGACCATGTGTTGGTTTGCCTCCCTTCCTAACATTTCCCATAATTCGGTTCATCTTGTTCCTGCAGTGATGAAATCTTGGCACTGAAGGCAGTGATGAACATAAAAACTTGGGAAATTTGCAAACAGGCAAACCATGCATCCATGCCAGTATCTTCTTTGGGTGACTTACGGATAAAATGGTCATCTGCTTTCAAATGTGCAAATCTAAAAGGGTGAGCAAGTGAGTTTCATGGCAGTGCCATGTCCAGAGTGGTTTAAAACCAGATTGCACAGTCTAGGAGACACGCTGCTTTGAACGAGAGGAACAGTTTAGCCCAGTCGTTAATGCTGGCCTGGTCCTTGTTACTTTTGTTTCTCTGAGCCCCAGGGGGCAGGAGCCCTGCTCACACCATCCCACTGCAGTGAGGCCTTGTGCTCTGCGCGGATCCTGGCATCTCTGTTGGCTTTGGCACGGAGTTAAAACAAGAAAGGATGGTGTAACAGTTCTAGAAATCCCTCATTTCAAACTGATTAAAAGGGTGCGTGTTTGTGGAAAAAACCCAGGTGGAGTTCTTAGCTTCTCTTCCAACTCGCTGCTGTGTGACTGTCAGCAAAGAAGAGCGGTACATTTGTGTGATCCCCGCTGCTGTTACCTGCTGTTGACCTCAGCTGGAGATGAAAACGGGCAGCTACTCGCAGCGCTGGGCTCATGTTTCCTCCTGCTGCTGTTACCCTGTCACAATGAGCAGTTTGTCTGTAGTCCCACAAGGGCCGTTGCTGCAGCTTGCCAGTTCCCTTCGGCTTTGTACTGTACTGGTGAATTGTAAGTCATGGGTTGCCCAATTCTAATGTCCTGAGGCACCCGCGTGCTGTGTGGAGAGCAGGGCTCCTGGGGTACTAAGCACTGTTTCTGCTGCTTCTCCTGTTAGTCATTGGTTTGGCTTCTCCTTAAAGGCTTTCTCAGAACTCCCCATTTCGTTTCCTCCCTTTCATCTCCCACTCACGCAAGCTTTGTTCTGTTTCACAATTCAGAGTAGCGTACAAGCGAGCATCTCCTCCTGTTTCTTAGTCCCAGTGAGTCAGCTCTTCCTCTGAATGGTGCAAGGCTCTGTGGAGATAGCAAAGGTGACCGTGGGTGTTTAACCCAGGCCTGTGCCAGCACAGCCTCTCCATCAGCACCTGAAGTGCTGGCTTTGCTGCCGGCATAGTTTTTCCAGCTACTTCAAAAATCACATTCCAATCTTCCGTTTGCAGAGTAGGGATGTAAATAATCTTAGAGGAGTGGATTCCTTTGGTGGAGTGCTCTAAGATTAGAGATGAAGTTGGAAATGTTCAGATTTCATGCTGGTTTGAGTGTGTTTGTAAAATAAAGCAGGAATTGCTAAAAGATGGATTGATGGATTGTGTGATGATCCTTGAGTGACTAGCACCAGATCGTGCCAGGAGCCCCTTTCCATTTGTGCTAAGTTAAATGGAATTCACGATAGCAGCAGCAGCACCACAGAGCTTCCACTGGCTGTTGGAAATTCTCCTGTATAAACTGCTCTACAGGGACAGAAAGGAATAACCGGTTTTGCTTTTATTTCCAGTATGAAGTGAAAGCTCCTGTTCCTTCAGCATGCTTCAGAAATATCTGCAAGCAAATGGCAAAGATGCATGAAGCTATATATGATCTCCTTCCTGAGGAACAAACTCAGGTGAGTGCTACTTTTGAAATCCATGTGACACCTCTCTTGCAAATGCACGAGCACTCTGTAACAAGAGAGACTTCTGCTTTATCTGCACGGGGTGGGATTCTGAGTTTTGGCAAAACCTACACACAGCCCTTGTTGGGAATTCTTCTGTCACACACTGCTCATATAGGGTGGGTTTCGGAGGTTTCAAATGTGTTATGCAGCTAGATTGTACCAGATGGCCTTTCTCATGTTTTGCTGCAGTTAGTGCTACTGCAGAGTTGTAAATCTAAGGACAGGAAGGACTGGTAGAGTCGCTGAATGTGCTGAATTGTAGTTTCTCTTTCACACTAAATTAAATGTTCCCTTCAGATTGCTTTTTGCACTTCCTCTTGGAGGGGAAAAATAAAAGAGACTCTAAATGGTTATAGTGCAGGAAAAAGATTAATTCTCTTCTTCTAGCAATTTCTAGATGCTTCAGACAACAGGGAAGAAAATATAAATAAAACTGTCCTTTAAGTGCGACACGTAAGAAATAAGAAAGAGTGTGTTCTGTCCTGTATGCTATGGTATATTGTAGTGGCCAGCTAGACTAGGAGGAGGAAGGCCTGGCAGATGGGAAAAGCACATGAAATTGCATGAACGAGACTGAAGGTTAGTGGGAGTCGAGATGTTTGCAGTGTATTGTCTGTAGGCAGTGGCATGGCTCCTCATTCGGTTTGGTTTGTTTCTTCTAGATCTTGTTTTTAAGAATTAATGCAAGCTACAAACTTCATCTGAAAAGGCAGCTGGCCCATCTAAATGTAGTCAATGATGGAGGACCTCAGAATGGGTAAGTATCCACATTTCTTTTTTATGCTGAGTGATTTAAATGGGCAAGCCTTGTCTTACAAGAATTTATAGGAGAATGCAGCCACACTCCATGTTTTGGTATTCATTTGGAATTTTTTTTACACTAAAGAACATGACTTGTGCTTTTTGTGCCTATGGGAATGCAGTCAGCTTGCTAAGAGGTTAGGGAGCCGGGCATTGAATTCAGCCAGCCTCCCCTCATGGAACAAAGCATTGCGTTAGGTTGAAGAAGTCAGAGAAAGAAGTTAGTAAACATTCTGAAATGTTGCTGGAATGAGAAATACTTTTGTTTCTGTCCAACTGACTCTTTCATGTTTTGCATGAGCTTATTCCTATTAGTTTATCTGTAGTTGTGATGTAGTTGCACAACACCAAGTTGCTTAGTAGGAGAGGCCGACAAGCTTACTGAATGGCAGTGAGGCCACAGCAGCCCAGCTGTGAGATCGGAGCACCCAGGGAGTGTTCTTGGCATGTTTTGTCTGTCCTGAATCGTGTGCTGTCATGTCTTCATGCTGCTGCCTTCATTCTTGTGTAATGCCTGCAGCTGAAGAGCCTAAAAGAGCCCCCTTCTGAGAACAGGGTCCTCTGATAGCCCAGTGCTGTATTTCCCAGCACAATCACCCTCCCGTCACAGGGGTCCCTCATCTCCAGCTGGAAATGAATGCCCCAGGTCTCTTTCTTTCACAGCAGCTATTTCCTCTAGAATACACTCCAAAGAAGTAGTTAAAGCCATTTGAGAAGGAAAATATCGAACGCTGAATTTTACTTGCTGTTGTTCCAGCAACCTTCACTGATGTTGTTTTTAATGTGCTTTTCTGATTCTCATCCTACTTTAAAATGCTTGTTTTTGTAACAACAGTAATAGTTCAGCACTGTTAATCTTGGTTAATTCTTTGCTATGAAATGCAACTTTTATTCCTATGTGGTGCTGCTTTCCAACTAGAACTACTGTGCCTGTGTTTCTGTCACCCCCCGCTGAATTTTTGGAACTTGCTGTTTAATCTGCCTTCCCTAACAGCCAGCTTTTACATCAGGCAGTAATTGCGAGTTGTGCACTTTGGCTCTTGTAAGATAAACCTTCTCCAGAGCACTGAGTTTTGAACTGGTACTTAATGTACTTAATCCAAGCAAAGTATTTAAAGATGTAACCGGTTGCCTGATTCATAAATAACCTCTGGTTGTCTTTCTAAATATTGGTGGTAGATTCACTAAGCTCAGGTGCTAACCTTGGTGCGCGTTTCAATGCAGACTGGTTACGTCAGATGTAGCTTTCTACACTGGAAACCTTCAAGCTCTGAAAGGCCTTAACAACTTAGACCTAAACATGGCTGAAATTTGGGAGCAGAAGAGGTGATAATCCACTGGGAGCAGTCACTTGGCTCTGACAACAGACCGACTTTCTTCTAAGAAGCGTGACGACTGTGAGGTGAATACTGAAGAACAGAGTCCAAGAAAGGACACTATTGATAGCTGGGGAAACTAGGCTCAGAGGGAGCTGCAGGGAGTGATCTTTTGGTGTCCTTCAGCAAGAAACAAGTGATCAGCTGTCTGTGCAATGTTTTTCGTTCTCTCTGGAAACAGACTCAGGTTTCTTTGGACCAAATCCAAAAGAACACATAGCTGTAACACAGCTGTAGTTGTCTAGAATGCTCTGTATATCTTTATATTAAAAAGATGCTTTGCATTTCTTCTAGTGCAATGGAATTCACACGGTGTCCCACCTTATTTAATGATGGTACAACATAAAAAGAAAAAAAAATCTTGCAGTTGGAACTCTGTAGAAAATGTTTTTCTCTATAAAAGTATACTGTTCCAAAATTTATTTTTTTACAGAACTTTATATGAATAAATGTCTTTTGCTTGCATATAGGATTCAGAGTTGTTAGGGAGCAGTCCTGTTTCAGGGTATTTCTCACAGCTGAGCTCTGCACTGCCGGCTGAAGAGGAGACTTTCTAAAAATGCGCCTGTTCACTGAAGCCATCACTGCAGGATGGATTTGTGCATTGATTGGAACCTGAAGGAAGTAAAAAGGCTGATGTGTGGATGGCTTCCTGCGGCTACCCCACCGCTGACTGGGCACTGCCACTTACACTAGGGTAAGTACAGTCAGTTTTTCCACTATTGAGCCCCCCTTTTAAAGATAAAACAGCTCTGTAGAGACAGAGGAGGACACAGAAAATGGGGCAGGAAGCATTTTAATGTTTTTAGGCTGCTCATAAAAGGTTGTACCCTTAAGGAAGGTGCAACTGAAATTAAGAGGTTTTTTTTATACTACCTTTTAAGACTGGATGCTGCCAGTACTAAGTAAAAGTGCCTGTGTATTTCACCTCACACCTCTTTACCTGAACGGTCTGAGTGCCTAACCCTGTGATGATGATGTACGATGGAATTGTCTTACAGTGTGTGTGTGCCTATGGTTTCTTCAGACAGGCATGCTTATCTGTTAGCATAACAGATGTCGTTAATTGTCAGTCAAAATAAAGCTATAAAATCACGGTTGTTTTTAAAGATCAACTTCTTTAATGATACATACCAGTGTTATTAATAAGCTTATAAAATAAATTGTCTGCATGTCAATACAAGAGAAACATTAAGAAATCAACAGTGATCAGGAGAGGGATTTCAATTTCTGTAAAAATTTAGAAATGAGTCAAGAGAAGATAATGAACAGAAGTAAGTGGCTGTGACAAGATGAACGTGAATTACATCCTGGTGACTATATCAATTCATCGAAAAGAGGGCAGGTCAAGGATCAAGATATTAATGGGAGATCCAGTCTTAAATGGGATGTGAAAAGCAAACACCACGGGTGGATGATGAGGCATTTTTCTCAAGTATCAGGTTCTTTGGGCGAGTTTGGAACATCAGCGCTGCCCACTCTCATGATACAGAAGGGAGGCACTGGCGGCCTTGCCTTTGTATGGTGACACACAGAATGACTGCGGTACAATCCCACTGATCATTTGTGAGGGGTTAGGAATATAGGTTGGGATATCTGTGAGCACATGAACTACAGGGTTTTTAACAGCACATTTAGCAGTACTGAAACTTTTGGTTGTTCAACTGTGCCTGCTGTTTACACTTCATTAAAAGAAAAGCTGCATGAGTAGCTAACCATGTCCCACGTGTATTGCTTCACAGCTTATTTCTGCAGTTACAAGCAATTCAAAACAACTACGTGTTAGAGGCAAGCCTCTGAACTTATCAAAGTAGATCTGTCCATCTTACCTCAAGACAAACAGTATTGCACTTCAAGGTTATATTAACTGAGTTACAGAATCTCTTTAAGGTCTGAAACATCACTTACGCACATCCATTGCGCTACGTATCTGCTTAAAAAGACAAGAGAAATTAACTTAAAATTAATACTGCAGGGTACTGTGAAGATGGCAAAGCGTAGGCCCTCCGTGTACTTATTTCTAATGCTTAAAAGGTTCTTCCACGATGACTGGTTAGCACAGCAGTCTGCAGAACCGGCCGCCGTTCCATTGGCTCAGTGGTCCAAGATGCGAAGATTCCCTGATACAATTTTGTTCTCCAGTACGGCTCCAGCTGGGATGTCAATTCTGTCGCCATGATTTGCAATGATGATAACTGTTCCCTGCATTCACAGAGAGGAAAGCAAGCGTTCAGAAACACTGCTATAGATGAGCTCATTCCAAGTCGACATTTAGTGCTGTTCGGAGAACCAGCTTAAGTTTCAGCTGTGAAGCAGGCAGATCCTGCATGTATTTCAGCTGTTTCTGCAAAGACGTTTTTTGCACAGAGGTTTAAAGCAAGCAATATTGGCAGCACTGTAATTATGCCAGCATATTACATACCATCAGATTGCAAACAGAAGTGATAACTTATTTGAATATTAATACTTGTTGTATGTGCTTCTATCGTGCCTGCTTGCTTTTTGGTGAAAAAATGTTCCCATGTTAGCTGGTAACACAGCTTACCATCCCAGCTACAAGACAAACAAACAAAGTGCCACAGATCCTGAAGAAGCAGTGAGAAAGAAGCGAAATTGGTTAGCTCCAAGAAAGCAAGAATCCCAAACTGAGGAGCACGGACACACAGCTGCAAAGCCAACCTGCAAGGTAAGGTAAAGGTACTTGCCTTTAATGAAACGTTCTTCCCAAATGTAACATCGCCTGAAACTGTGAGATGATCCAGTTCCAGCATATCTGGAATACTTTCAAACCTCCGCAGGTAATCCTGAACCTTTGGGGGAAAGGGAAGAATACTGCCTGTTTTAAACCCATTTGTGGACTAAGACATGCATGGGAGCTGCCTGAAAATTCATTTCAAGTGTCTTTCTGGAATCTCCATTTGACAGCCTGGAGAAGAGAAGGCTGCACAGAGACCTGAGAGCAGCCTTGCAGTATCTGAAGGGGGGCTGTAATAAGGAAGGGGACAGACTCCTCAGCAGGGTCTGTTGTGACAGGACAAGGAGACACGGTTTCAAACTAAAAGAGGAGAGGATTTAGATTGGATGTAAGGAAGAAGTTTTTTACAATAAGGGTGGTGAGGCCCTGGTACAAGTTGCTCAGAGGTGGGGGATCCCCTCATTTTTAATATATTTATTGCTATGGTCTACTTTTATACAAAGGGAGAAAAGAAAAAGCAACTCAGCATAAGTATAGGAGTTTACCTTTGTGAAAGAACTTCCCAGTTTGACAAGAGGAACAGTTGGAAATTCACGCTTCTCGCTCATTGTTAGAGATCCAGCATTAAGACTATACAGATTAGACATCACAAGCAGGAGATCAGATGTGGTCTTAACAGGCAGAAAACGACTACGAGGTACATTTATTCCCAGAGAGTTCTCAAAACTCTTAATAGCAGCACCAACTGCAGTCTCCAACTGGATAACGTTCAAGCCTCCATCCAGAGTCTGGAAGAGAAAGCTCATGTAAACAAGCAGCAGGTGAAGGTACGTGGTGCTAACACAGCTTAATTCACAGCTCTGCATTTAGCAGCAGACTAGCTCCTTTTTGAAGGCAGCAGCCCTTGTTTAGTTGCACAGGAAGAAGTACTTCTTTATAGTCCGTTTGCTCCAAACTCTTCCCAGCTGCTTACCTTTGGGTTAACGATGATCTCCATGTCAATAGCATTTTTCTCTTGCAGCCTTTTAATTGCAGACAGGGCAATCCACAGATTGTTCGTATTGAATATTTTGAATTTGGAGACAGACTTGAATTCATCAACGTGTGCTTTTGGGACCTGAGCTATCTCCACCAGTCTCAGTTTGTTTTCATATTGCGTGAGTGTCCCACCCTGCAGGGGTTAAAGAAGCAGCTTTAGGTCCTGTTCACGAGATGTCAGCAGAGAAACCATCCCCCCACCCTAAGCACAAGCACTGCTTTGGTGCCATTTAAAGTTGAGCCTCAGTGAAAACTTGTGTTCACTGGGTTACTAATTATAGAGCAAGTTTAAATTACAGCTGTCCAATGATCACATTTCAGATCACCAGAACAGTTGTTTCTGTTAATGAAAGTTGTTGGCAATCTTCTGCAAATGCCATTTTTGTCAAAAACCACCTTTGGCACCAGTTTGCTACATTATGGAGCAAAATTTAAATAAGTCTATTAGTTGTGCTCTCTTGGAGTTTGTTGAAGAGATAAGTGGTACTTCAGCAACCTGGACTCTCCATGGATGAAGCTCTGTATTTTTATGTAGCATTTCTGTGGTTTTAGAGGACTTTTGATATCTAACAGGGAGAAAGTCCTGTTCCCCTTATCCTATTTAAGAGAACAGATACAAAGTTCTGTTAGGGCAGATTTGTTGTGACAAATTACTGCCTGCTAGCAATACCTGACACACAGCCTAAACATCGGACAAGGTGTCAGACCTGCACTTTGTGCAAAGTCACGTGGCTGGGGCAGGAGTGGCTTTGCAGCCACAACAAGCTGAGCTGTGTAATGCATGCATTTACAGCAGCATAAAGAGCTTAGAGTTTTCAGTCAGCTTTTACCATCCCCAAACTTCTGCCATGTGTAAGTGATAGTTTGGAGAAGGTACAGAGGTTATGACCCATATCGTGTGGAAATCATCTTCAGTAACCAGCCAAGTTCAAGCTGTCCCTGTCTGCTGGTGCCCAGAACCTCGATCCAATTTGTTCCTTTATTTAAAACTTTACAAACTTGCTGATTGTGTGCCACTCAAATTAGACCACAGGCGACGTGTTAAAAGGTGCCTGAAATAGCTATAAGAAGATTTAATGCGTGTCTGAATTCACACCTAGGGAAGAGACAAGAGGCTTACATTTGCAGCAACGTGAAGGCATTCAGACGTGCTACACAACTATTTGCATTTACCTTCACATCTGCCCTGGTTTTGTTGGTGACTTCCATGACGAATTCACAGCGTTTTCCATTGGGTGGGTTCATAAGATGATTCAGAATATAAAGGTCCACTGTAGCACCCAAGTTATCTATATTGGATACAAAAATATATTCCTTCCCCTCTGCAATAAGGTTATCCAGCAGACCGGAGTTATAGAAGCTGCCATAGATGTCTCCATGGCCTGGCGGATACCAGCACTCCGTATTCTCTCCTGAGTAAGATACATCCTTGGCTATAGGCAGCAGAGTTTCCTTGTTAATTCTAGGATACCTGGGAAGACAACATTTTCTTTAAGTTCTCACCAATGCCAGAACAGCAGCAAATAAAAGAAAACCACAGTAGTTAACGTTCAGCTGCATGGGCTTCTTTCATACCCTTTTGACTCCAGGCTTTCAAGGTTAGCGTAAGTTCTCTGAATTGGAAGACCCATCCAAATCCTGAGCTATAGCTAGGAAATTGCAGAATGCAATCTCTCAGTCAAGGATTTAAACCCGCAGTCCTCAGACCAAGCAGTTTTTCTCTGATATGCAGCTTTACAGCACGCCAAATACACCTCCAACATCATCAGCCACATCAAACACTTTAGAGTTTGTTCCATCTCCCTGAGAGGATACCAGAGCCCTGGTATCCTAAAAGCAAATTCGGGAACCAAGTGGCCAACATCCAGTACTCCGTTACACACAGTTCTTGAGACTGTGCCCCATCCTGAATCCCTCTCTAATTCCAATACATTGCCTTTGGCTCTACTTAACACTGACATTTCAGTCTTTCAAGAAAATGAGATTGAATATGGGTGTAGAAGTCCCTGTTACTAAACTAAAAGCCATTTGGAATATAAGGAAATGCAAGGTATGTTGCCTTTCACTCAAGTAGAAAAGTTGTTTATACCTGCTTTGATTAAAGGTATATATTTTCACTCGGGTGTGACTGTATTTCTGCAAGATTTTCTTTGTGTCTTCATCCGTGTTGAAGGAGTTCATAAGAACAAGAGGAACGTCGGTGTTGTAGGTTTTGTTTAAGTGCTGAGATGAGAAAGAAATGGTAAATTCAGCATGAATGTTTAACTCCTAAGGATTTGTGGAAAAAGGAAACAGGCTTATTAATCCCAGTCTGCCTCATCTAACTGTTAGATAAAAGGAATACTCTTACGCTAATTGAATGTATTAATAAATCAAGTGAAGGAAAACAAAACCTTGTGAAGTATCTAAGGTCACGACCATGTTAATTAACGTACAATTGATCTTTGTTTCTAAATCTGCATGAAAATTCAAGATTTCAAAAGCATTGCAAAATGATCATGTCAAATTTCAGCCAATTGTTGGTTACAAAAGGCTCGCTTTCCCCCAAATTATTAAAGTCTGGGAGGTTGCAAAAACTATTCTGCACAATAAGCAGTTTTGAGCCTTTTTGGTAAGCCATGAGATGAAAGAGTATCAGGAGTACATAATGGATAAAATGTTACAGTGTTTAATTATTTGGACATCTGGAAAACAGAACTGAAATACACCCATGTGGACAGCACAGCAAAAGGAAACACATTGGAAAACAAGATAGTGTTTCACCAAAGGAGAGTGCAAAAAACCCACAAAATCTACAGTGGGTTGAAAACTTGGTACATTAGATCACCTTCACCTGCTGGGAAATGTTTGGGATCGTCCACCTCTGGAAGAGGCTGTACCACAATGATCCTTTTGAGAAAGCACCCGCGAGAAGGGCAGAGTAAAGCTGCATTAGTTGGATAAAAATTAGTTGGATAAAAGTTTTCTATTGGAGTAGCTCACATACATAGCCACTCCAAACAAAAACCATGCAGAGGCACCAATGGCTGGAGATGTAGAAAGCAAGGAGCAGGCACACCCCATCTCCTACTCCAATGACCATCTTAAGTATCCACTGCGAGAGGAATAGTCAGCATTAAAATCATAAGTGAAGTGCCCTCTCTCAACACTAGCAGCTGTTCTTTTATCTTGTTTCCTCAGAGGAAAATCCTAGCCAGCACTTCTATCACGAGTGTTTCCATCTGACAAGGAACTCTGAGCTGCTCTGGAGAGCTTTGTTCCAAGGGACATGAGAAAAGCCACCCCCAGACCTGCATCTGGAAGGGTCAGAAGTCAGCTCCACAACCTGATGCCTTGTGTTACAGGACACAAACACCACTGTTCAGGGTTGGTGCACACAGCTGTGTTACACTTCCAGTAACGTGCAGAGAGGACAGATGTAAATCCCCAATTGCTCTGTCCTTTTTGTCCACGTGTGCTGCACATCACTACTGCCTGTTGCTTCCAAAGCAGTTCTCTGCTTTACCACTAGTGTGGTGACCAAGCTCCCTTTCCTTCTCTCTTTTGGTAAGTCTCTACTGTGATCTCTCCTATGGCTCAGATGCTTCAGCGCATCTTGCTTCACCTCATGTAGAAAGGGAATGCTTTATTCCAAAGTACAGCTCCAAAAGGCAGCACGCAAAACAAGAACTGGATTCCAACTCCCTCTTACCCCAAAAAGGGAAAGCATGACCACTTATTGGGTCTTGTATTCAATTGAAACCACATTTGTCACTGGAAGGGTTTCTGTATTGGCAGGAATTTCAGCTCTAAGTGGGTTTCAGAGTAGGTCTCGAGCACACAGATCCCCTCAAGCATCCACACCAGCACTCAAAGCACATTACAAATTACCTCAATCTGCTGAACCGTCAGATCCAAGAAGGTGTTCTCATTCCGCACCCCAATAAGACTTTTGGGGCCTTTACAGCCCATGCTTGTGCCCAAGCCGCCATTGAGTTTCACCACTACCAGCTTGTTCAGGACAGAAGCGATGTTATCGGGCAGTCCTCTGGCCTTTATCTTCTCATAGGGCTGGATCTGTAGAAAGTAATTTGTTTATTTCAAGTCAGATATTTGTAGTGAAATTGCTCTTTCCTAGAAACTTCAAATCTTAAAATTTGCTAAGAATACCCTCATTCTCTTATATGATGGTAGAACACTTGCAAAATGAGTCTACAACAACCTGCTTTGTTTCAATAAGATGACCTATTCTCTCGAGCAGCTCTGCAGCTTTGTGAGACCAGCCACCATCAGCTTCATCCAGACGAGATGTCTCAGTCTCTTCTTTCACACGGGGGGAACTGACACAGCGGTGAGAAGGGGGCACAGAGGAAGTCATGCCAGATACACTGGTTACCACAAGCCCCTTCTTGTCCTACAGGAGAGAGGGTCTCTTTGTGACCCATCTAACCCTTCCTCATTAAGATATCCCCCTTCAGGCAGGATCAATTTAAGAGCACAGGCTTTGCACGCCCGTCCCAACTTTCCATCCTCAAGCAGCATAAAGTCACACCAGTTTTTTTGATACATTGCAGTAAGGTTTTCAGAGGCAACATTCTTGGCAAAAAGGCTGGTTCTTTGACTCAGTCTAAGCCACCTGTTACTCCAGTTACTACCCTGATATAACCATTCATCTCTCCAAATGGAAGACAGGAAGTTCCTAGTTCTCATCCTGATATTTTCAGGATGTGTTTACAGCTCACATCAAAACTCACAGAAAGCCTTCTACCTTGCTGATAGCTACATCCTGCAAGTTTAAAAGCAGTATAAAAACAGTATAGGCTGCTTTCGGGGTGACAGATGGAGAGCAAAATCAGGCTTGTAATGAAAGCCAGCATGCCTTTCATTAAGCACTGCTTCTCTGTAATCCAAACCACCTAAGTCAAGGAAACACAGCTAATAATGCAGTGATAAGAACCACGCCAACACTGTTAGAGCAAAGTCAATACAATTATTTTTTAACCTGCCCTTTTAGAGATTTTCTTTAGGAGAAAAGTCCCTGTGCCTCAGTGCTGTATGTATTCTAGCAACAACAAATTATTTCTGTGCTGATAAGGGATGTGTAAAATCCACAGCTGATTACCAAAGACAAACACGTGCTTAGCAGTTTTCAGAAGTCTGTCAGCTTGGGGCACATCAGGCTGGGGTTCCAATGGAAATTCACGTTGTGCTGGAGCAAGAATCACATTTTTTACTCAGATGTGAGGAACAGGGAGGAGAAGTGCAGCTCCAGCAGGGCACAGGTGGCAGATTAGAGCACATCCCTCACATTAAGGAAATTCCACCTTACGCAGTATCTGCACAGCATATGGTGCATTTTTGAAGATCACTCCACAAGCTGCAGCATAATAACTGAGGAAACTGCCATTACTCAGTGGAAACTGGCCCAGGAAGATCGTGATGCAGCTGCTTCGATTCGTTCCACCTAGAAATGGTTCCCAGTGCTTAAGATCCATACTCCAAAAAACCCCAAGCAATTAACCGGACTTGAAAGCCCCATTAATGATAGAAATGTTTCAATCCACATGCTCTTTACCAAGCTCCTGCATTGCTACCTACTGGTAAGTTTGGGCTCACTGTACTTCCCTGTTTTTCAAAGCAACAGAGGTTCCCTGTGCTAAAAATCCTTGAGAAGCACCTTACGAGTAAGGTGAGGAACCTAATGAGTAAGGCACAAACTATCCTGTGTTTTCAAATTACCACTGCACTCAAGGTGAGGTGATTTTGCTTGTAACAGTTAACTATGAAAGGGGAAATCATGCACTGAAGCCTCCACTTTCCAGTATGTCACAGTAGCAGACATGGTGGTTACACAGTTTTTCTTTCACCCTTTCAGCAAACTAGCCAGAAGGGAAACAAAGTGTTATGGTGGCTCAGGCAGCAAGCAGCAACACTATTACTGCTGCAGTCATGTGCTAGCATCCAAGTTCCCTGGAGAAAGGAATTAACTGATGAAACAAAGCAGGTGATGATGGCATGTCAGTTTCCATTCAATCTGCAGATGATAGTAGTAGAAGAAACGCAATTTCAGATAGATCTGTCAGTAAGATTTATGTGCATCAATAAAAGATGAGGGGAAATTTGTCAGCCAAATCATTAAGTTCAGCGCTGACCGTAGGACAGCCACAAGTTTGATCCCTACAAATCTACCTTTGTTGCCACAATTTGATTCACTTGTCTACAAGGGGTGGTTTTCAAGCAGTGCTTTCAGGGGGTCCCAGCAGTTTGACAATCAGTTTCTCAGTTTTGACTCCATATCATGAGACTGAAATCACACAACACCTAAACAACAATGCATGTCTAAAGCGACCCACCAGAAAGTGCACTAAATCAAAACAACTGCACTGATTGCTGCTACCTCAAACGAGGAACAAACAACAGGCTCCTCCCTCATTAACTATCTTGTCTAAAACAGCTCTCCAAGATCCCTTGCTTAAAAAGCCTGACAGTTTTGAATGCATGGCTTCAAGTGAGAACTTCAGGATTTGTTGCTGTATGGGAACTGCTGAATCATGGCCTGAACCTCTGATTGAGCACCTGAGGCGAGCACTGAGTCAGCCATGGGAGCACAGGTGAAGGCAATTCAGCTGTGCTGCTGGAAGGGGGGGAGCCTGGCTGCACCTCTGCTAGACCCATGTAAGAGCTGAATGCCAGCGGGGAAGGATCTCTGCTGGAGATCTCTCCTTGGAGTCTTATAGTGAGCCCAGGATCAGGTAAGCATCCTATCTATTCTGTTGTGGTGTAATAACTGTGTAGCCAAGCTCTCTGGTGTATCTCATAACTATAACATCTGTACATTTATTGATTATACAGTTACCAATAATTTATGCAAGATTCTATTGTGTATCATCTACTGATAGGTGTGTTAGTCTGACTGCTCCTCTAAGGAAGCAACAGAGTAAGACTTTCCAGCTTCCTCATGTGAGGGTGTGACTGAATTCATTTTAGGCAAAAAAGAAAAAAAACAACTATCTGGCAACTTGAAGAAATTAAGCAACTGTTCTAATCACAAACACATCATCCCAGCCAGTCACAGTACCTGCTGCTAACAGGATTGTACTGTGTATTGCTCCACAAGTCACAGGCAAGGTAAGACAGACTGTAAGTAGAAGAGAAACACTCATCCCTGCTTGCCTTGCTTTCCTTTCCTCAGCCAACTGTGCTGCCCATGCCCTCCCCTACATCTATTTGCTGGTTCTGACCTCTAGCTAGCTGCAGCCTATTTGCAACCTGAACCCTGGCACAACCTTCTGCCTCCAGGTTATAAATTATGCTCAGTTGCATCATCCAGAGAAGGCAGAAGGTTGAAATAAGTAAGGAAAAAGACAGCTGAGACTGATAAGAGGGAAGAAGGTGGAAGATAAGGTGACAGCTCGAAATGAATGGAGTCCTAGGGCATGGGGGCAAAAGACCTGAAATAACAAGAAATAAAATGCCAGTACACCAATGTAAGACCACTAAGTCTTATCAAAACATTCCTCTTCGCATTTTAAATTTCACAGCAGGATTTTGGAAGCATCTCCACAGTCCTACTTCAGCAAAGGCTTAAAAGATGGATAACCCAGGATAAGCAAAATTGGGAGCAGCCAAATGTGGCTCCAGAGCAATTCAGCTGCAACTGCGTGCCCTGGCCTAAAAGCCCCATGACAGGCAGCCCCAGCACTTGGCTTCTCCAGGAGGGCTGTGGTGAGGAGGTGGGGATCATGGCCCCAAGCCTTTCCACACCCCCTCACCACAATACCATGCCCTGGGGAGCAGGGAGACTTCTTTTTAAATTGGGGTTTGTGCCTATCAAGTCTGGTGAGGTCTGTTGATCTGGCTGTGTAGGAAGCAATCTTTCCTTGGAAAGGAAACTGTAAACTCCAGAGGCAAACATGGCCTCAGTGCTCCCTCAGCATAGACAGATCCACTATCTTGCCCCTTCCTTGCTTAAAGTATGTTTGATAAACAAATCCAGCAGGTAAGTGTGCTGGAAAGAATTATGCTCTTTTTGTTTTTCTTTTTTATTCAGAGACTTGCTCAAAGCCTAAAAAAACCACAACCACAGACTATCTGAAAGAACAGTCTACCTGAACTTTGTACTTCTGGTAAATGAACAACATCTGCACTTGCGTGACATTGCAATATTACACAGGCAAAATGCCCTGAACTATGAAATTGCCTGTTTTTGGAGTAGCGTGTTCTCTGCCTCTAAGATGCACGAGATGTGAACTCCAATGACTCCTGCTTGCTGAAAGAAGGGATGAAGCAGGCTGCACTGCTTTGACACAGCTTGTACTGCTTCTCTTCCAACACATCCAGAGTGAAGGAGGACAACAGAAGGCAGACTGACCACAGCAGCTTACTACAGGAGGTGAGCTGCAAAGTGAGAAACTGGACCTACCCATCTGCAGCAGGAGTCTGCATCTCTCCAGGCATTCTCAAATATTCTTCTTCCTCCTCTGCAAGGGGCATTTGTCCTCCATAGCCCTGAGCTGTATCCCTGCACTCCAAGGGTTACTAAGCACCGATTCTCATCACTTGCATCTATCCTGGCCTCTGTCGTAGTTCTGCCACCTGCATAAACCATGACTGCCCAAAGAACACCAGGATGAGAAGGTTACAAGTCAGGGCAGCCGTGGCAACCTGGACAAACACCACGTCAAAGCTGCTTCCTAAATACCCACATCTTCCAGACTGAAACAGGACCATTTCAGACTGCCTGCACAGTCACTTTATTTTACAGAGGAACACTACAACCCTTCAGTAGGAAACTTATGACCAGCAATAGAGTTATTCAGTTAAATTAAGACAGAGAAAGCTTTCAAGTCTACAGAGTTGTTTTATTTATAACTCAGCTGAGAGGCTCATTTCTTCCAGAAAGTGAGATGCAGAGAATCAGGAGACCGGCATTTAAAAAAAGAAGACAAACAGAACATACAGGGCTTATCGTATCCGTGTGTTATGTGCTCTGAAACAAAGAGTCTCTTGAAAATATTAAGAGGTGACTAAATGAGGAGTAGAAAAGTCAGCTACTTAGGGTATGAGGAAGTGAGAAAGCATTATATATGCCATACCTTTCCTATTGGGGCAGAAAGGCTGGATTATCAAGTCGACTGAACAGGAAGCTTGGATGGCAACATTCCTGACAGAAGTAATGATGTTCTCACTCACGTAATCGTACCTCAAGGGATTGCCAATCAGCTACAGCTGACCTGCAATCACTAGATGCTACAGGTTTGTGGACCCTGCCATCAGCAAACCTAGAGATCTTGCACGGCATGCCCTGCATGCTCCTGGGGTAACTGAGCCAAGCAAAACTGCACGAAGACCGCAGCAAGAACAGCTCCAGCAATTGGTTATCAGCAAGCAGTTCTGCAGCCCAAAGGCACACAATAGGCTGATCTTGCTTCAGTAGCACCTTAGTATCTCCAGGTGTCTCTCTTCTTGCAACAGAGCATGTGAGCACAACTACAATAATCCAAACCAAAGCTACAGCAGCAGCCCTGGTTGTGTCTGTCAGAAAGTGACCTTTTAAAACAGCATCCACTGCATTTTCTGCAAGATGAGTTCAGTGCTGCCTGACAGGACAGTGCTGCAAATGAGAAGACTTCAGCTGCTCCCACAGATGCCTCAGCTGGTTCAGAGCAGGATGCTCGCTTGCTAACATTATGCACCCACACACACTGAGTGCCATGAATGTACTCTGAGGCCATTCAGCAGGTGGGAGGGAGAGAATTGGAAGGCCACAAAGGCTGGTAATGCCTGGAGCAAAACCACAGCTTGGAGATGAGCACGGCAATGAATTTGCATGTCGGGTCTGGTCATCTCCTCATTGCAGATCAAAAGGACAGAATAATTCAAAGGAACCTTCAAAAGAACTGAACCTTTTCACAAGAAATTCATTGCTAACCAGAGGCTGGAAGAGAACAGGGAAAGAAGGGATACAAATAATGTGCAGTATTCTAGATCCAAAAGGAAACATCACCATTTTCATCAGCCATGCTAGGTAAGAATAACACAGAGGAATGCACAACAAACTTGAGGCAAAATGATTTCCACACAAAATCCTTTGCATCTCCCACACCCCTTTCTTTCCTTTTCCCTTTTCTTTCAGCTACAACAAAACTACGTACAAGAGAATCCCTTAGCAATCTTCTGCATACTATGCAAGGATCTTTCATAGCAGCAGTTTTGCAGAATGTTGAAAAGCTTCAGTTCTGTTTGCCTATCATCCAGTACAATATTCCTCTCTTACTTCAAATGCACATCCGTTCAGAAATGCCATCTGTTCAGAGTCACTTTATTCTATCCACAGTCCATTTATTCTGCTGTATTTTCAAAAGGGAGCGTGTAGAACAAATGAGAGAGGCAGGATATGGAGACAGCGTTTCAGCAGTGTAGGATGTGTCTGAACAAACTACAGAAGGTAAAAGATCCCAAAGGTTTTAATCATGGATTTGTCAGAAAGGCAGGGGCAGCCGATACAGACAAGGGGTCATGAACGCAGGAACTGACAGCAGATATCCAGAACTGAGCACACACTGTTGTTACACCTCCTACCCACTCCAAAATCAACACCACCCCTACCAGGCTGCCAGTGAATTTCAAACATGTAGCTGGGTAGGACACGAGTCACACCCAGTGTTCAGGTGTTGGCTGAAAAACAGAGAAAAAAATGGTTTTGCCTTTAAAGTCTCACTATGTTCTTCTTGCATCATGCACAGCTCTCCAAAAATAGAGACTGCTGCTCAGTTTGCCTCAAAATCATTCGCTGGAGTGCCAACCACCCCTTTTTGGTCTTCACTATTGCACTACAAATGAGCTTTTGCAGAAAGCCCAGAGCAAAAATCTGATGCCAGTGAAATCAACGATTCTACCCCAACCCTCTTTGTCAAGGATTGAGTTCATTTGCTGTAGCTCCAACGCAAGATCTGTAACTCAGCCTAAATATTTTAGTTTCTTTTGGCACAAATGTTGGAAATGACAACTTGGAAATGAAGCCCTGGATCTTGAAGGGTCTTTAATTCAGAGAACAAGAAATGTTAGGAATTCAAATTCAAGCAGGATCCTTCCAGCATGTGGACTGCTAGGTATTGGTGCTATTACTGAGCAGTTGCAGGCGTGCAGAGGCTCTAAAATGCAAAAGAGCTGCCTCATTACCTACAAGCATAGACAGGAGTAGAAAGTGCTCCAGAATAACAAAAATCAGTTCCTGCGCTCAGAGCTTGGAACAGTGGACTTGACAAGAGAGGGCCGACGAGAAAATACTTCAGGAGTAAAACTGAGCAGGAATGACAGGACTTAGAGATGCATGATTACTGTGTTAGTCATTTCCAACGAGTCTTGAAACTGCGGTTTGGGATTCCTCTGAGATGATATCTAGTTCCACTCAGTTCTGCAGACAGTGTCACAGAAGTGATTTTTGGAACAGTTCGCATGAGGCAACACTGGGAGTGTGACTAACGTTTCAGAAGTACACTCCTACAGCAGGGACATTTGGGAGAGTTTGCCAGAGACAAAATGAGCATCGGGCCACCACCGTGGGTAGACAGGAAAAGAATACACCCATCTTAGTCAATATTGTAGTCACAGAAAAACAAGGTAACATTTACTCAGCACCAAAGGGCAGTTTTAGAAAGAGCAAAAATGAACCCTTCAGACCTGCTTTTAGAGTTCAAGACTAGGAAGACATTTTAGTTTTGATTAAAAGCATGTCATTTTTTCCTTTTCCTTCACGATCACAGCTCACCAAGGTTGGAAAAAAGACCTCCAAGATCATTCAGTCCAACCACCCACCTACCACCAGTATTTCCCCACTATACCACCTCCCTCAGTACAACATCTAAATGTTTCTGGAACACCCCCAGGGATGGTGACCCCACCACCCCCCTGGGCACTCTGTGCCTCACCACTCTTTCAGTGGAGCAAATGTTTCCTAACATCCAGCCTGAACCTCCCCTGGCACAACTTGCTCACACTCAAACTGCTTCAGATGTTCACTTCACATCAAGGATGAGGGTCTGCATTGCTATTCTGAGGTTAACTCGATCACTGCAGTTTCCCCAGAGGCCCCCAGCAGGGCTTTGCTACTGCTTCCAAGTCAAACAAGCTGATCACTGCAATCTACATCAATAAGATTAAATTACACTTGCTGTGTTCACGTTCTTTACTTTGTCTCCTACTTAATCAGGACTTTAAGTGCACGCTTTCTTCTCTGAAGACCACAGAAATGGGTCAGCTACCACTGTAAGCCTTTAGACATACAGAGGGAAAGCATCTGGAATGAAAAAAACAAGAAGTTTATCAACATGACATGTTAAACCCACACAAATGGGTTCATCTGAATGGGTTCATCATCTAAAGCCTACAACTTGCTTGCCCATTGTTGTTAGCTGTCATACTAAAAACAGAAGGGAGAAAAATGGGGGGATATTAAAACACAGTTATTCTTACATTGCAATCTGCTGTCAGGAATCTTTACTTGTCCATTGGTATTTCACAAAGGAACAGAAAATGACATTCAAAGAACAAGAACTGTGGATAAAACGTTATCCATGAAGATAATGAAAGACCCTTGAAGTCTGACCAGAACTTCTTCTCCTGCATAGCACAGTCACAGCACTGGACAGAATCCTGGAGCAGTTCTCCTACTCAACCTGAATCTCAGAAATACTTCATGTAGAATAGAAAATTAGAAGACAAAGCCTAAGTACGCCAGAACCTATTCATGAACTCTAAGCTGTTAAAATCTTGGTGTTGCATTTTTGGGTGCTTACATGTACATGTATGTGTGTATGTCTGTATGTATTCACATGCAGCATGGGAAGGAAGCTTGTTTGAGGGCATTTTTCTCTAGCTTTCCTCTGTGACATTTTTGCTATGCAATTTGGAGTTCATGCTAGGAAGTAGAATTTCAGCCAAGAACAGGCATGCATCTCACCTGAACCAAAGCAATAGGATGGTGCAAGAGTCTTTACTATATACTTTCACATTTCTGGACAAAAGTTGCTTCCTAGCTGAGTGACAGAAATGAGCATGAGCCAGAACAGGCCATAAGAAAGAAGAGAGATACCACCTCCAATCCTGTCATCCTTTCAGGCCTCTGTGACCTTAGGCTAG